AAGGCGTTGAGGAATGAGTGTTACCTCTGCTATTTTAGAATTTTTGCTAATCTTCACATCATCACGAAGGTCGTGTTTTGAGCGTAACGTATATCTCTATTAAATGAAGATTGCGTGAAGAAATGTTTTTGGTAAATATCAGCCCATTAATTATAAGAAAGAGCATACTGACCATTTAAAAGGTAATATGAGAGTATTAAAACTATTAGGATAGAAATATCTGAAGATTGTCCATTAAGGCATCTATGAGCGTGCATACGTACTGTTAGAATCTTCAGTTGAGTTATACTGATTGTAGCTATAGCATGGCAAATCTCATACATAAAAACAAATTCATCATGAAACGAATACTAGGTTTGTTACTAAGAGTATCAAAAACAAAATTCGTACGTGAAATTAATGTTAACTTCGTATTGTATCGAAAATAAAATCCAGTCTAAACATATGGTAAATAATTAATCGAGAGTTTCATTTTCCAAACTACAATAATGGTCGTTTAGATAGTTTTCATACCGTCTAACGGGTGTCCCATAATAAATGACCCTCTCAGTATTTTGACTATAACTTTTTCTCTTTACGATCCTTACGTTAGAGCTGATTATTTTTGCAAAAGATGCGCCGTCAAATTCTCTACAATACTTTAAACAAACCTGTGCCTGTGAAAAGTTACGGAGAAAAATTAAACTAAGAATACCAAAAACCTATAAAGTACCCAACTTTCAAAGCTATTTTGATTCGCAAATTTTCGATTATTTTAAACAACTCTAAAGACGACAAAATAAAAGTAAAGATGCTTTTGACTACTTGGAAGTGCGCTCTTTCTCGACATGCAATTCACAGGTCTTTGGAAATTAAAGTGAGCACTGAAAAATCTAACATACCAAAATCACTTCAGATCGGCCAAGTTCTACTGATTTTTGTCAACTGTCCATTTGCGGAGAAAACTTAAAAGTAAGACTAGGGTCAAATTCCGCCGCTGAATCTAGTACAGGAGTCATTTTTTATCAGAATAAAAAAAGCCGAGCTCAAAAACATTCTATTTTGGCTTCGTTATGAGACTTTTTCCAGAAGCTCCGAAAGCGACGGATTCAAATAGATGAATTTTGATAAGTCTCCAAGACAGGAAGATCGATGTGATTATCCACGGTTGATTTAGTATTTGCTCACTAATAACACTGATTGATAGAGCTTTTAAAGAGCTACAAAATGCATACATTTTTCGTTTCTTATATTCTTCAGTTAATAATGGAAATAGTTGAAGAAGACGGCAGTTCCGCTTGAAAGTTGGGTATTTTATACGAGTCTGGTATTCTTCGCTTAATTTTTCTCCTTAACTTTTTACAGAGATAGGTTTTATGAAAGTACTATAGAGAATTTGACGGCGCATCTTTTGCAAAAACGATCAGCTCTAAGGATCGCAAAGAGAAAAAGTTATAGTCAAAGTACTGAGAGGGCCATTTATTATGGGATACCCGTTAGAAAATGCTACAGAAACATTCTCACTAGTTGTATGGATAGTAAGAGTAGATTACGTGTTTTTTCATGCTTTAAATAGTAACATAGGAAGTCAATTTCTGTATAAACTATTTTTTCTATAATACAAGGATGGTACTGTTAAGAATTTTAAAGTATATTTGATCGAACCATAATACAAATCCGTTAATTTCACTATGAGACAGAGATATAACTAGACAGTCAATCTTAAAATATTACATTTCTGTCGCATGGTGTTAGAAATTCATTGTAGTGCGTGCCTTATGTAGTAGGTTTTTTTAAAGTTAAAATCTGTGAAAACAAAAATATAGATGGAAATATTGAAAGAAGTCAATCGTAACTGTGAGTTGGTCTCTGGAATTCATCAGAAACTATTCAAAAAGTATTGATGCATTTATTTATCATTGAAATTGGCTTTAGGTTTTTAATCTTAGATATAAAAAAGCACTTCTTATTGAAACTGGATTATTATAGTATTATTGCGAAAATTTAAAGTGTTATTTTTAATAACTGTTTATATTGATAGGTAGTTAATTCAGTCTTTCTGTACAATGAGCAAACTCCTCTATCATTATTTTTGACAAGACACAATTATTTGGCATGCAGTTGTGTGTACTTATCCATTCCGTACGTAGTCTCACTCCGGAGACAACTTTCTTATGTTAATACTGGATTGTTCTAAAAAAAAGCTTTTCTTTTTTTAAAAAGAATGTTTTTACATTTCCTGATTGCTTGATGCTCGGAATTAGCGATGAGCTTTAATGAGATGTTTTCTTTCGTCTGACGAACAATCGTTTATAAAGCAAGTGCCTTTAGTTGATAAAATATGATTATCCATAATTTTAATAAAGTTAGATTTAACAAAAACAAAAACAAAATCATACATTTACAAAGAATTTATGAATCTCAAACCAATCTAACTACTGAAGGTTTTGTTTTGTTTTCGAGTTTTGTCAATTCTTTTCAAACAAGCATTTAGATATGTTATTTCATCAAAATTCAAGACCATGCGAAGCATTGAATCAAACTAGAAAGCACGTCAGTAATTTCCTCTGACTTGACTGATTGAATCTTCGTTGCTACAATTTTCTGAGTACTGAATCTTTCCAGGAATCATTAGTAAATATAAAAGGGAATATATAATATATTTTTTTAATATCATATTTATATAGAAATCACTACTTTAAGACTTTTCTAAATCTTAACTTTTAAACCGAATTAAAACAATTGTGATATGAATAAATGCAACCAAAAATATCATGAGCCCCTTACCTATACCCCTTATCTTTCATGAAAAAGTATTAGTAGAAAATGCATATGATCTATTCAAACGATCAACTATTAATCAATAATCTTTTGTGAATAAAGAATTCTATTTATAAATTGTACATGTTCAACTATGCATATAATATTTCATTAGTAATCATTTAATATTATTCAGAGAAGTGTGTGACTTTTAGTTCTACAAAAGATCTAGCTTGGAGTATTAATCAAGATAGAAGTAAATCAAGAAAACAAAGATATTAAAATGGGAAAACAAGTAAAGGCCACCATGGCTGATGTGGATTTTTTTCTTTTGGGGGAAAAAACATGAGCTATTGTCAAAAGTTCAGAAATTTTATTAAATAATTATTCAACATTTCTTTGCTTTCTTGTGTTGACTAGTGTCAAAAACTCGTATTCTACTCTTAGACCTACGTGAGAACTTGAAAGCCAAATAAAATTGATCAAAAGAAAAGTTTTTTTCTTTCTATGATCTGTTTTTGCGTTGTTTTGATATTCGTAGTTTAAGAACAAGACAAAATAAGTTTTTTTTGAAACGATTATTAAATACTGAAGCACTTATATTTGTCGAAGAAGATTATTTACTATTAATAACTTCAATCATCATTTTGTTTCTTTAATATTCATCGCTTTTAGTTCATCGCCATTAGTAAGTTTTCATCGTTCACTCGTCTATCAAATATTTTAGAAAGTTATTCCGTTAAAATTCACAATTCGAATACTGTCATCTGAACAACATTGACTAGAGATATTTTCGGCTCATATTTAAAAGCCTAAAAGGAACCACCACGATAGATTTATGCATTCATAAAACTGGAAAACAGTTTTACTTTTGACTGTGTTCTCTTTTATAGTTCAATAAATTATCAGTATCATTCATCTTGAAGATTATTTATATTGAAGAAATAATAATTGAGAAAAAAGCTTTTTTTTATATACACCACTTGATGTTGACAGAAAAAGCAACCACTCTCTCTAATTAATAGCTCCATTTTGACCTGTGTTCATCAGACTGTAGTATCTAGAGCTGTGCGATCGGAGACAAACTAAATAGTTCAAATTTTTGATTAAACTCAAATACATCAGTATTACCATAGAAACCATATCTTGATTAAAAACACGCAGCTTGAATAAGCATTTTATGTGATCAATCTGCAAGGCTTCATTAAAAAAATAGTTTTGATACTATTAACAAACATTTTGAACAGATAGTTAGATACTTGATAAAAAGTCATTTATTTAATAATGCTGATAGCATTACTTCCTTCGAGATAATATGTTAAATTATTCAATAAAAATTAGAAAAATGACAGAGAATTTTCCACTGATGGACTCTTACTTCTCGTTGTCTATGATGTAAATGTCGCTTATCTGCGTGGGCTATTATGAAGTCAAAGAATATGATGTTGGCTTTAATTTTGAAAGCATTCAATATAATTATTCATTCCTGTTTATCTTCCTTTTCAACTTACGATAATTTATATTCAACCTACAGCAGTACTAAATAATGAATTTTCGGTTGATAAAGCTTTTTATCGGTTGAGAACTTATCATTGAAAATTTCTCCAAGTTAATGTGTCAATATGTGCTCTTCTAGCTGCTAGTCAAATGTGACTATGTTTATTATTATTATTATTATTAATGTATACACATATGACCACTTTTCTTGATTACTTGTTCTTTTTTTGCTGCTTTTTTTCGCTTTGTTGTAAAGGAAAATTCATTCATATAAAAAAAAAGAGAAAGGATAGGAAGAGAGAAACTCTTGAAATTACTTTTTCTTCCGTTTATAACAAATGATACTTTTATAGATTACTAAAAACAGTCACTAAAAACAAGAACTTAGGTGAGTTTTCTCTAGTTGTGTCTTTTTTTGTGTTGAAACTATTTGCTGAGTGAGTTTCTCTTGATATTGAATAAGTTTATGTAGATTTTTATGAATAGCTATATAAGAAATCTACTTTTTTAGGAGTGCAGGTCATTGCCGAAAAATATACTAACAGTAAGTAACTTGTCTTTGAATCCTTAGTTACACAGATAATTGTTAGCTTTGATTCTGTCTGTAACTGCATAACCAGTAGAATCTTACTTAACCTAGTTGATCATTGTTTCTATCCATTAGATTAAACTATCTAACCGATGCTTTTTTTTTGAACATTCATTTTGTTTTGATTTGTATATTTTTAGTTGAGCGATCCTTACAGCATCAAAACTAACAAAAAATGTTATCATCAAGTAAATTATTTTCTATATTATCAATCACGCTGGGTAAGTTCATATAGATATACGTAAGATTTCTTTATATTTAATAACTTCATTTAGTTGTACTCTCTGTACATTTTGTAAATGGTTTTCCCATCGGTGCAGAATCATTCTCTCAAATGAATTCAGATATTGATGATCCTACTGAACTTATCGACAATGGACAAATACTATCAAAACGAAACTTACCCGTTGAAGGTATCCTAATTGGCCGACGATCATTCCCAACTGAAGGCATTTTAATGGGCAAGCGAGATTATCCAACTGAAGGCATTTTAATGGGCAAGCGAGATTATCCAACTGAAGGCATTTTAATGGGTAAACGGGATTATCCAACTGAAGGCATTTTAATGGGTAAACGGGATTATCCAACTGAAGGGATCTTAATGGGAAAACGTAATTTTCCAACTGAAGGGATCTTGATGGGAAAACGTAATTTTCCAACTGAGGGAATACTTTTAGGCAAACGTTTTCGATTTTCTTCACCAAAATCAAGTTTTTATCGTGGATTCAAATATTAAGTTTACGCAACACAAACAAGGAGAAACAAAAAATTAATATCGTTTTTCTTCAATCGTTAATCACCTCTTTACATTTTCGCATATCTGCTCATGTTTAAATAAAATGTAATTCATCAACAATAAAAGAAATATAAATAAAATCAATATATAAAATTAATTCAAGTAGCTTTTCTCTTTGTTGACTTTTCACTCAATCAGACTACACAATCGAAGATTTAATGGCAAAGAAAAAAAATACAAAATGAAGTACAATGATACTTATAGAGAAAAATATAACATAATTTTATTGTCTGCATAAGGTTCATAATGATGTATATATATATATATATATAGAGATTCTCAATGGGTTAATAATATGTCTGTTTTTTTTATTAATTGCGAATAAAATCAAGATGAAACAAAATCGAATTAAGAGAATAGGACAAAGAAAGCTTTAGTTTTTATACAGTAGAATAATAGAGTGAACAGGAAATAGACAAACAGAGATAGAAACTGAAAAACGAAATTAATGAGTACACAGCAACAAAGTAGCCGCCGATAGAAATAGTTTTCATTTTATTTCTGTCAATCCTAGATTCTATGAACCTTCTTGACCAAATTCTTCCGTGAACTTCTTTTGTAATAACAGATCCTTTTCGCCCACTGTTGGTTTCTGTGTAACAAGAGCAGCTTCCATATCCGACTACAAAAGAATCATAAATTCGTACTGTTTTTCCTAACAACACCTTAAAATAAATTACCATAGTTACTGGTGGTTCACATAATTCTTCCGACTTAATTTGATCCAATGTAAGTGCTTGAGCATATGGATCTCCTGGTGAACAAGTAAGCCAAAGTTCTCGCGGGCCATCAGGTTTTGGATTTTGTACCTATATAGGCAAAGAGTAAAGTTGCTCAAAACATCTATTATCAAAGAAAATCTACTCGTTTAAAATGTGTTGCGGAACCGAGTCGACGAATAGGTCTCAATAATGCTTCACGACAAACAACACCGATATCAGCACCCGAATAACTAAAATCAATAAGAATTTCTTTCGATTTCATCTACTGAGAAAAACGCACTGTTCAGATTTTTGTGCTAGCTGCATCCATTCATGTTCTTTTATCATATGGAAAGTATTCGTACCTACATGTGTTTTAAACATTGCTGCTCGTTGATTCACACCAGGTAGTGGAATATAGATACTTTTTTCGAAACTAAACAAATTTCATAAAATATGCATGAAACATATTTCAATCTGAAGTTTACCGTCGTCGAATAGCTGTATCAAGTGCCCAAGGAATATTAGTTGCGGCAAGAACAAAAACACCAGCATTATTAGTCCCAACACCTAATAAAGTAACAACAATAGAATGGCTTTTTTCCATAGTTGTAGACAGAATGCGTACGTTGCATTTGAACAAGAAACTCAGTTTTGACACGTCTGGACGATTCTGATTCTGTATAATTACGTTGTCCACAGAGAGCATCGATTTCATCAATAAATACAATACACGGTTGCCGTTCGCGAGCAAGTTCAAATACAACTTTGATACTTTTTTCAGCCTCACCAAACCAAATAGAAAGAAGATCTGATGAACTGATCGAAATGAATGTGCTCTTACATTCAGTAGCAATGGCTTTGGCTAAATGTGATTTACCAGTACCGGGAGACTAGAAAAAGAATTTACAGATGAACTCTAAAGTATACGGTTGAAACCTACTCCATAAAGTAAAACAGTACTACACGGCTTACGTTTCCCTAAACAAAGATAAAAGAACAATAGATGATATACACTGTCAATTCTAAAATACCTTGGAAAAGTTGTGGAAATTTCACTGGTAATATAACAGCTTCTTTTAGTGCTTCTTTAGCTTGGTCTAATCCTATGACATCTTCGAACGTAATATTTGAATCTGTGACAATTGCTTCTATAATCAAAGAAACATAGTACTATTGACAGTTGCAAAAAAGACAATGGTAACACTGACCTTCAAAATGTTCCACCATCCGTTTTCTATCTGGATCACCATTATCGTCATCATCTCCTTTATTATCGTTTGAATTGCCACGTCCAGTGCTAGTATCAACTACAGCTTTCTCTTTAGTTGAACCTTTCTTCAACGCTTGTACGATTTCTTCTGCTCGTTTCATATAACTTTCTATTTTAGGTCGTATCGCTTGTTTCATCTGTGGATTCATTTCTCCATCTAAATTCGAAAATTATGCTAGATAGAACGATCAGTTTTGTTTTCACTAACATTTCATCGCTTGGAAAAGCCAATCGGCTGCAGTCATATAATGTTGTGCAGCAGCTTCATAATTGTGCGCTTTGTCTTCTGCTGTAGCTTGTTCGGCACTCTTAATTCCTTTCTAGAATACAATGTGTTATGTTTAATTATATTTAGTTTCACACTGATTACCTGAATATACTCTTGTTGACCGCTACTCATTGTTTAAACGCTAATAATTAATCAGCTGAGTAGATTATATGAAAAATGGTAAAAGAAATAGAATTAATTTTGATGATAATAGAACAAGGTCTTAGCTAAGAGAATTTTGTCTTTCTGAGTAGTACCGAGTCTGCCTATAAAGTAATCAATGTGATGATTAAATAAAGCATATTTCGTCGGAAGGGCGAGTTTCTCTGCTAAGCAATACTCGAATAGGAAACTAATATCGAAAGTTTGACTATAGAAAAAAACACATAAATGATTACTATAGATTAGAAGCAAAAGTGAGACCTTGAGACAAAAAGCTGTTGTAAGAAAATTGTTCGTATTATCTCACTGCAAAATATTGATGAATCATTTTGATAGATGGCAGAAGATATAAATTCAAAAACTCAGCATTCAGAAATTTTATGTATAGTAACATGTTTTTATTTTATATAATTTTACAGCTAATATGGGAAAACACAGATGACATACGAAAAGAAACCTATTATGAATCTATATTGATAAAATAATATAATTTTGATTTTATTTATTTTATCAGTTATCTTCACCAAACTTTTCAGTAAGAGCTTTATATTTAACCGTATCTATTCCGTTTATTGAAGGTTTTATCCTAAGAAGAGCAATTAACACGTGTGACTAAAAAAGAAATGCTTATATTTCATCTTTCAATTTCATTCAAAGTTTCTATAACTACTGACCATAGTCAATGATGGAACATACAATTCATCAGGTTCTATTTCATTGACGGTGATCGGTTTAGCATTTGGATCTCCCGAAGAACAGGTGGACCCAATTTTATGGCGACCCTCCAATTTTAAATTTGGTATCTTTAAATAAATTAAAAAACATCTTAATACACAGAAATAAAAACCAAACGAAGAGTATTCATTCGTTTGAAATGTGTTGCTGACATGAGTTGGCGCAGAGATGTGAATGAAGCCTCTCGACAAACTATCATAACATTAGCTGTAGAATAGCTTTAAACATAATACTGATGATTCACTACATGTTGAAAGAGAACCTTTACTTTTTCGTTTTCTCTGCTAACTGGATCCATTCATTTTCATGAATAGAGCAATCGTGAGTATTTACGTGCAAAAATGTTTTTCACAAAGCTACTCGCTCATTTAAATCAGATAGAAGGATGCCTCTTCGCCTTTTAAATCTACAACATAAAGGGAAAAGTTATTCATTTTCATGATAAAATAAATGTACATCGGTATCGCACTTTTGTTGAAGAGTTGTATCAAGTAACCATGGAACACCAGCCGCAGCAATAAGGAAAACACGTGCATTATTCATTCTTATACCTAATTTATTGTTATTGAATGAAATTAACATTATTCTTTAGTATCACACAATAAATTACCATCCATCTGAATTAGAAATTCTCTCATTATACGTTGATTTACTTCCACACGTGAATCATCACGTCGCCCAAGCAAACCATCAATATCATCAACGAACAGCATGCATGGCTGGTGTTGACAAACGAATCGAAATAATGATTCAACACATTTTTCAGTGAACTGAAGATATTTTGACTGATATTCCCAAGCATTGACCGAAATAATTGGTATTTTGCATTCAACGCCAACCGCTTTAGCTAGACAAGTTTTACCAATACCAGGGGGCTAAGAACAAAAGAAAGCTCAGTGAGATTGATTGATATTGCATGTAATACTCACGCCAAAGATTAGTACTGAGGTTGATAATTCATTTTTATCTAAGTGCAAAAGAAGAACATGACGATATTAAATTTTCAAATCATAGATTTGGGTATCTTCGAAAAGTTTTGGAAATTTAATAGCTTCGAATAGAATTGTTTTTGTATTTGTTAAACCAATGATATTATCAAATGTTATACCGGAATTCGTAACTATATGACCTATTGTAAATTATAATATTTGATGAATTGAAATGATTTACGAAAAAGCACACAACAAATAGTATTGCAACACATTATGTTTCTAAAGTTCATATGATGAATTAAGACTTTATAGGAACCATTTAATTTACACATGAATCATTCGTAAATACGTCGAATTCGTTTCTTTTCCTCTGGAGTGAGGCAAGTGATCGTAATGTCTATTGCGTACTTGAGATATGCGATTATGAAATAAAACGGAAATGATGTTTCTACATAATTTAATATTTTTACTTCATAAAGTCTTTATAAGCACATCATAGAACTTACTATTGAAACATTCCATGATATGTTTCGAATCTCCTTTATCATTGTCATATTCAGGATTTTTCTTGTTTATCAAACTACCACAATATGGAATATTATCAATCAATGTTTCATTTGTCGTTACTGTATAGTTTATGATATTTTTGATTTCTTCAGTTCGTTTTAGACAACGTTCGGCTTCTCCATCAATTGTTAGCTTCATTTCTTCGTCTATAGTTCCATCTACAAGGGGTACATAATTTAGTTTTCAACTTCCTCGACAGTTCACTAGGAGTGCTTACACTTTGTCACATGTATAAAAGTGTCATATGTAGCCAAATAAGCTTGTAAACCCGCCTCATATTCATTGGGTTTATCTTCAAAATCGACCTTCTCAGCGCAATCCACACCTCTCTGTAAGGTGAAAAACATAAAAACTAATGTCAATTAGTTTGTTGCAATAAAACCTTTATGATATTCGTTAAATCTATATTCATTTCTATAATTACCACTAGATGATGAAAACTAATAGCGTAAGTTTAATGTTGAAATCGCTCAAGTATACACCTATAAATATCAATAATCAAAACAAGCGCAAAGTGGAATATAAACAAATTATTTAGAGGAATTGATTTATCTATAATATTTAAAAACCAGAAACCCATTAGAATTCAATGAGCTTTTTTCTTTCTTCTGAACATCTGCACCATAAAGAACATGATATTTTGTCGATTTGGGAACCTTTAATCGACAGAATTTTTATCGAATTCAAGAAATTGTGAAAATCAGACGGCACTTGCAATGTATTATAATTATAGAGAGAAACGAAATGAGTTATACTGATGAATAGAACTTTAATGAATATTTGAAATTTCCATTAAAGAAAATCCACTTTAATGAAAAAAAGAGAAAAATACTTTTTATCACGGAATTCATTGATATCCAAAAATTAGTATGTATCAAAATATGTTGATAAATTGCTGTAGCAGTTTTAGAACAATTTTTTCAAAACAAGAACAAATCAGCAAAAAAATACTTTCGTTAAAAAATTACAAGAACACCAAATGTCTATCATAATCAGGGTTATTTGTGCGAATAATCTCTGTACAGTTTTTCATAAATCTTTTTCACCGAATTCACGAGTAAATTCTTCGTATTTCACCAATTCATTTTCGCCTACTGTTGGTTTCTGTGTTACAAGAGCAGCTTCCATATCCAACTACAAAAGAATCACAAATTCGTACTGTTTTTCTTTACAACATCTTAAAAAAAGTTACCATAGTTACTGGTGGTTCGCATAATTCATCTGGCTCTATTGTGTCTAATGTGAGAGATTGAGCACCTGGATCTCCCGGTGAACAAGTAAGCCAAACTTCTCGCGGACCATCAGGTTCTGGATTTTGTACCTATATAGAGATAGAGTATAATTACTTAAAACATCTATCATCAAAGAAAATCTACTCGTTTAAAGTGTGTTGCTGAACCGAGTCGACGAATAGGTCTCAATAATGCTTCACGACAAACAACACCGATATCAGCACCCGAATAACTAAAATCAATAAAAATTATCGTCGATTTCATCTACTGAGAATACTCACTGTTCAGATTTTTGTGCTAGCTGCATCCATTCATGTTCTCTTATCATATGGAAGGTATTCGTACCCAAATGTGTTTTAAACATTGCTGCTCGTTCATTCACACCAGGTAGTGGAATATAAATACGTTTTTCGAAACTAAACAAATTTCATAAAATATACATGTAACATATTTCAATCCGAAGTTTACCGTCGTCGAATAGCTGTATCAAGTGACCACGGAATATTAGTTGCGGCAAGAACAAGAACACCAGCATTATTATTTCCAACACCTAATAAAGTAGCAACAATAAAAATGAATTCTATTTTATGGCTATAGACAAAATGTAAACCTTGCATTTGAACAAGAAACTCAGTTTTGACACGTCTTGACGATTCTGATTCTGTATCATTTCGTTGTCCACAGAGGGCATCGATTTCATCAATAAATATAATACATGGTTGTCGATCACGAGCAAGCTCAAATACACCTCTGACACTTTTTTCAGCCTCGCCTAGCCATCTTGAAAGAAGATCTGATGAACTGACCGACATGAATGTGCTTTTACATTCAGTAGCAATGGCTTTGGCTAAATATGATTTACCGGTACCAGGTGGCTACAATGAAAATTTGAAGATAAATCTAATGAGAAAAAGTGGAAACTTACTCCATAAAGTAAAATGCCAGCCCATGGCTTACGTTTATCTGAAAAAGAGAGTAAAACGTATTTTTAACGTGTGTAAACGATTTTATGTCATTTCAGCGGGAGACGTACCTTTGAAAAGCTTCGGAAATTTTACCGGCAATATAACTGCTTCTTGTAAAGCCGTTTTAGCTTGTTTCAATCCAACAACATCTTCAAATTTGACATTAGGGTCAGTGACAATATTTCCTTAAGCAAAAGCGATACGATAATATTCAATTTATAAAGTTAAAGTCAGTAATACTAACCTTCAAACTTTTGCATAATGCGTTTTCTCTCCAAGTCTGGATTATCATTGTCATCACTTTTTTTATCATTTCTCGAATTTGCTTGATTATTTCCATTACTAGCCACAGCTTGTGTTTTCTTTGATTTATTGTCTAACATATTTTTTATTGTCTCTGCTCGTTGAACATATGTAACAGCTTTTGCACGTATATTATGCTTCGTAGGTCTGTCCATAACTCCATCTATTAAAACATATACTTTTCAATTTCAATCCTTCGAAAATTTTGCTACCGTTACTCACATTTTACGGCATGCAAAAGCCATTCAGTGGCAGCCATATATGCTTGTGCAGCTGCCTCATAGTTTTCTGCTTTATCTTCTGTAGTAGCACGTTCGGCAAAATCCGTGGCTTTCTATAAAGTGAGAATAGTAACATATACTTTGAGATTAAGTTCATTCTAAAAAAAAACGCACCTTGATAGTACCTTGTAGATCGATACTCATTGTTTCAGAAATTTCTAGAAAACAAAATACAGAGTGAAACATACAAGTATGCAGTAGAAAGATTTTCAAGAATGAGTATCGATAACAAATAGGAAGTAATCTCGTTTAGAAATTCACTGATCATAGAGAATATAGTTTATTCGTACGCTTAAATATCAGTTGTATATGTTTTTACGATATAATGAAAGATAGATTAAACATCAACAGAGGAACGAAGATCAATTTTGTTCAAACAAACCATTTTAATAGAATTCATCGATGACAGTAATTTATTTTCGGAAAATATCTTTATGCGAATATACAATTAATGAGAACTAAGACAGCTCGATGACTATTAATATATATTGCCGCAGAAATGAGTAATTTTAATCTTGTTGTGTCGCTTTCAAAAAGGAAAAAAAAAATTTTCTCAGCAGATCAATGTTTGTCAGAATAATATATTTAGTTTATGAGTCATGACAGTTACTCATTTTTATCACTACGCAACTCACAGACAATGTATACTTATGACACTAATTTCGAAAAGTTCACTATTTCATGTACCTGTCAGCGTGCCAATAATGTTGCAACTATACTCGAATTCAAGTCTTCAGATATTTTGTATCATATTGGATAATGGACAAAAAACAATGTCTGATGTAGTGAAGAAATGATTCTGATAATGTTGGCAAATATGAGATAGATACCTTATCTTGCTGAGATTGTAGATGTGTGCATCAACAACACGTATACTCACATGGATCTTTAATATATCATCTTCAGTTAAATCTTACGAAAGTTTCAAAAAAATTGCTTCATTTTCCTAAGAAGCTCTATTAGTTATAGGAAATCTTGCACTTGAAGTCCGTCAATAGAAAATGCTTCTATCCAGGGCTGACCACACAGACGCTATCAAGGCAAGAGACTGAACTATTCTGTGATAAAAACTGTCTTCGTAAAAAGATTATGTTGGATAATATTAGACGATTTATTTCTTTATATCAATATCAGAATTTATTGAAATTCAGTGCAGTAAGCAATATATATATATTTAATAAAAATTTCTTTCTTATCGATTCATACTATCATGTGAACTTCGTATTCACAAAAAGGAAAGACATAAAATCATAATATGTTCCATATCGATTGATTCATAGCGACGCGTCTGTTTCAATTTTTCATTGGATGAAATCGAACCTTCAATGAACTTTTTTTGATTACATGGTAGTATACGATGAATGAATGAATTAGGCTTCGAAAAGTTTTAGACGGTACTTATAAAAAAAAGAAACCAAGCTATTCGATAGATTATTTTGAATCAGATATTTGTTATGTTTGTACGACAGCAATCTGTATTGAAGTAAGTCTGGACTAGGCCAAACTAATTATTTATGTGAATCGAATAATAATATGAATTACTCTACTATATTTCATTTTTTTTCTTCAGATTATCATCTGTAATTAGTAGTTTTTATTATCGTACAATGAAAATCCGTCATTTCAATGCCTTAGAAGATAATTATATGTATTTAATAAGTGATGATAAAACTAAAGAATGTGCAGTTGTTGATCCAGCCGAACCTGACGTAGTAAGAAAAATAAAATTCAACCAAAAAGCACTATTGATTGTTGTAATTCGAATCTATAGCTAGTCAAAACTATTAGGAATGAAGGATTAAAATTAACAACTATTCTTACAACACATCATCATTACGATCATGCTGGTGGTAATAACAAAATGCTCATATTAATGGGTGCAGACAAAGGTCAAATAAAAGTAGTTGGTGGTGATAACTCACTGCAAGGACTTACACATTCAGTAACTGATAATGAAAAACTAAAAGTAATTTATTTGTTGTCAAATAGAAAAAAAAACACAATTTTGCTTTCTTTTTTCGAATAGATTGGAGAAATTGAAGTAACTTGTTTATCAACGCCATGCCATACAGCTGGTCATGTTTGTTATGTAGTCACTGGTTTGTAAAATGACACATATACATTCTCTCTCAGTGAACCACTCTATACTATAATATTTTAGATGAAAAAGAACAAGCCGTTTTTACAGGCGATACATTATTTATTGGTGGTTGTGGTAAATTTTTTGAAGGTACCGCATCACAAATGCAATCAAGTCTTCAAAAATTAGCTTCACTTGATCCTAAAACTGTAGGTTAAACCTGTGTTTATCTTGCTATGAAAATGAAAAAGATTCGTTGTGATTTTCTAGCTGGTCTATTGTGGTCATGAATATACGAAAAAAAATCTTCAATTTGCTGCTACTGTCGAGCCAGATAATCAAGACTTGCAAGCTAAACAAGCTAGTTTAACATCTGTTACTATACCATCGACTATTGGTGATGAACTTAAATTTAATCCTTTTATGCGTACTAATCAAAGTAGTGTACAAAGATTTACTGGTAAAACTGATCCGGTTGAATGTATGGCTGAATTACGTGAACGAAAAAATAGATTTTAAATTCAATTTTCTTTTGATTCAACAATTCGTAGAGTTTTTGATTTAATAAACAAGCTGTAATTTGATAATCTAATTTTTCTTTCTCTTTCAGAGATATATATGTATGTAGTAACTGATGGAAACAAAAACGTTGCACTAATTGAACCGTTTCTGGTATTAATACTATTTTATGAAATGTTTTTTTTTAATTAATCTGCGATTGTTTTCAACGACTTATCGCTATCGTAGCTTTGTTCATAAAAAACATTTGACGCTAGAATCATGGACTTCGAAAAATGAATCAGTCTAGTTCGATATGTAGGTATATCGAATTCCAAAAACTAGTGATCTGTTGATAGCACTCACCTGCAGATATATTTGTTGGTACTCACTTATGTAATCGTTGTATGATTTCAAAACCCGACACAAGAGTTCTAAGATATACAGAAACGTATTGCTGTGAAATTTAATAATATTTATTCTGAAATGGTACCTTAGTCAAATTCGTTTCTTGTCTAATGCTTTGATATTGTTCGAGTTGCTGAGAAACATAACGTCTTTATGTCTCATCCAACCGTTCTATTTTACATAGGCTCATGTTTTTCTTTCTTTTTAAAGTTGAGTGTAAAGTTTTTAATGCTATCATTTCAGTTGATTAAAATCAAGCAAAGACAGTGACTATTTTATTATTTTGAAGAAGTGAACCATTAATCGGTTAGAACATGTGCATTGCCTTTTAAAATATTGCTATGTTCTAATTTTCTTTCAAATGTTAACAACAAATTTTGTTATTCTTTTTTTTAATGATCATTGTTTTCGTTCATACTAATAATAATACATGTAGTTAATAGAATATTTTCTTTTTGAAATTTATTGAATAAAAATCATTCTTATTTACATACTATCTTCTATGGAAAAAAATTATTTAGTAAAAATTTTAACTAACTTTTATGTATATATCAATTATAGATGCTTAAAGGACGTCTATGGCGTTTTTTAATATGCTTTTTTATACTCTATTTAATATCTCTTTTGTTTTTCCTTCGTTATTTTAATTCTGATGAAAATAAAACAACAACAGTATCACAAAAACACCATGCACGTGTTATTGTCGATGATAATCAAGAACAAAATAATAATAATCACCATCATGTGGTTGAACGGCAAGCTGAAAACAATAAACCATCAAATATAGAATTAGAAAATAAACAAAATAGTCGATCAAGTTTAGAACCTGTAATGCAGAATGGTACATATGGTAATTATGAATTGAAAAGCATAGTTAAACCATCTGGTCCTGGTGAAAATGGTGAAGGTGTTCAATTGAACGGAGAAGATGTTAAACGAGGAGAAGAATCTGTTGCTGAATATGGCTTTAATGAAGTAGCAAGTGAGAAAATCTCATTAGATCGACGTGCACGTGATACCAGGTACAGAAAAATCGATTGGTAGCTTAAAGAAAACACTTTTTTTTTTATTTAGACCACAAGAATGTAAATATTGGAATTATCCAAGTGTTGATAAATTACCAACAGCATCCGTTGTGCTTGTCTTCTACGATGAAGGATGGTCAACACTAGTACGAACATTTCATTCTGTAATTAATACAAGTCCAAAAGAATTATTGAAAGATATTATTCTTGTCGATGATTACAGTGATCAAGAACATATAACTGTTCGTTTACCGGAATATATTAAAAAATGGAATGGTCTTGTAAAATATGTTCGAACAAAAGAACGGTAAATTAGTTTCTGTTCATATTCGTTAGAGTAGTCTTTGGCAAAATATGTATGTTCATTTATATCCATTGTCCAGTAAGTTGATAGTATATTCAACGAGATATTACAAAACAAAAAGGATGTTTTGGATATTCTCTACCAGCACATTCGAGGTCAAACGATCACTCTCCTTCTTAAGTTGACACATGTTGCATAGAGATATTATTTTGAATGTTTTTCTTTTATAGAGTTGGACTTATTGAAGCTCGTGTTGTTGGCGCTCGTGCTGCTGAAGGTGATGTTATTGTTATCTTAGATGCTCATTGCGAATGTGTAAGATAATGTCTACTTTCCTTTTAATTCATAGTGTTTATACATTTCTATTTAGGTAACAAATTGGTTGCCACCATTATTGACTCGCATTGCTTTAAATCCTAAAACGTTAGCTGTACCTATTGTTGATGGAATTGAATGGAATACACTTCGGCATAACGCAGCCTACGGTGGTACACTTTTTCGAGGTATATGGGAATGGGGATTTCTATATAAAGAAACGGGATTACCACAACGTGAACAAAGTCAAATGAAATATCAAACTGAACCATATAAAAGTCCCACTGTAAATATGAAATTTGGTACAGTTCTATTACTGCTAACTGTTTTGTTCGTTTAGCATGCTGGTGGTCTTCTTGCTATTGATAAAAAATGGTTTTTTGAATTAGGTGGATATGATCCAAATATTAAAATTTGGTAAGCACTAATTATTATTAGTTCGATCCTCAAACAAAACGAATATCGATCTGTCGGAACACTCGATGAGAGAAGTTTTCTGAGTTACTGTAATCAATGAATTAAAATAATCCATACACCACTATTAGTTCTTAGTTTATACAAAAATAATATTTTAATCTTTGTTTTTTTAGGGGTGGTATGTATTGATTTTGTAAAAATTAATTTTATTTCTATTTCAATATTCACCTGTAGGAGAACAATATGAATTGAGTTTTAAAGTTTGGATGTGTGGTGGTCAACTTGAATGGTAAATAATAAAGAAAATACTATTTTCTTACAACTAGATGAATATCCTTTTTGTTTTCCTTGTGATTTTAAAGGGTTACTTGTAGTCATGTCGGACATATTTATCGAGGGCCACGTCGACGTAGTATGCATCCTCGGGGTGGAAATATTCATCAAAGTCATATAAATCATTTACGTGTTGCTGAAGTATTTCATGTTTTGTTTTTGCCAGCATTTTATTTTGTTATGTTATTGTTTGATACTAGATTTGGATGGATGAATATAAAGAATATTATTTACGTCGTCAACCAAATCAGGCTCATCTTGAAATTGGTGATACTAGTGAGTATAAAGCATTAAGAAAACGCTTGAATTGCTCAAGCTTTAAATGGTTTATGGATAACGTTGCTTATGAAATGGCTGAGAAATATCCACTACCACCAGCTAATCATGTTTGGGGTGAAATGCGCAATGATCAATATCAAAAATGGTGTGCCGATACACTTGATAATCAATTTGGTCGACCCATAGGCATATCCGGTTGCCATAGTCAAGGTGGGAATCAATTGTTTCGTATAAATGTAGAAGGCGAATGGTCATCGGGTGAACATTGTTTCGTATCTGAAGGCAAATCTATTGTTGCAAGGTATGCAATAAAATTTTACTTATCATTCTATACTATCTAAGGGGTACTTCTAAAAGATTCACTGATAAAACACCTATTAGAATAGGATACCAGGGTCTCCAATGTATCGATCAGACTGACTCTCATACCAATTGGAAAGATAACGGTTACATAATTATCATGTTCGATTTGTAGCCCTTCGAGAAGTAAACTTTCGACTGTCAGGAAACTTTTTAATTACCATTTGTTATCGACTGAACTTTAATGAAGCTACAAGATAGACTTAGATGTCAGTAACAGTCATATATATATAGATGTATGCCGAGTTCATTTTTTTACAAAGGTTTCAATTTCAAAGCATAAGGAGACAATACTCAAGAGTAAAGATCTTGTAAATATGTATTTATTTATTTATTTCTAAAATCATAGACATTGTGTACAAACGGGCCGATGGGTTCCAAAAGGTGAATGGACGTATGATAACAATACACGACAGATTCGTTCAACAGAAGTTTATAAATGCGTTGCAACCGATGAGAAAACTTTATTTCTTGACAATTGTGATGAAAAATCATTAACTCAAAAATGGACATGGAAAGAAACTTACGTAGTATAACTAACATTTAATTTATATCATATCTATCGGGAGGATCATTGAACCTAAATCTATTGTATTCAAAGAATCTCTGATTCATTTGTTTTCTTTTTGTGATATATCTTTATCATAGTGTTAATTTCTTGTGCTTCTTTCGTGCTAATTTAACTGACTTGTAATTGTTGTTTTTATTTATTTTTGAATGGCATTCCGGTTTATTATCATGCTCACTTTGTTGAATTTTATTCAAATAGCTATTCGAAGAAAATGAAAAGAAAAAAACAGGAACCAATAAATCAATGTTTTATCTCTAAATTATTCTCTTTAGATAAAATGTTACAGTTATTAGCAAAACGAGCATGCATAACTAATCAGCAAACATTTAATTTCTCTAAATCAATTGTCCGTAATAGTTATTACTTGGTGTAAGCTTCGATTTTTATTTATGAAAAGAAAAATACATTTCTCTTAAACTTTTATTTTCAAAGAATACCAGAATTACCACCCACTGTTGAAGGCAGTGATGCAGTATTTCATTCTGAATCATTTCCATCATTTGAACATGCTTCACCACAAGCTGTTGTAAGTGGGGGTCTTCGACTATGTTCACAAATTGATACCGCTATTCAACAACATGTCGACAAATTAGCACATGGTAAATATTCTACGCTATTTCTTTTTTTTATCATCGGACTCGTCCCTGATTGTAAAGTTTAACTGAATCTCAAATAGCCTTTCAATCGAGTTCAATAAGAACAACAATTACAGTTGTGAATACGGTGTAGTAGTAACAGCGAAGATCGTTCTACTAATACTTGTCGATCATTTATTAAATTAAAGATTGCTAGGTGAAATAGTGCTCTTGCAACTAAGTTTGATTCGATACGATGCTAGTGAAAAATAGATACACTCTGTAATGATCTATATAAACAATTTGACTTTTCTGTACTACTTGAAATTAAGAAGGGCCACCATGTTAATCTATCATCTTTTCATCTGGCTTTTGCTTGATCGTTCTAGAAGAAAATATCGTTTGGCAGTGTGATTTTTCAAGAAAATATTTTCCTAGGCTACATAAAATTCAAAATATGCATTGAATAGTTCAAATTCTACCATAAAAAAACAACAACTTGAGAATGAGTAAAATTGAGAATTTATCAAAAAATCAATCGCCTAAATAATACCTAGAATTTTAATCGTAAATAACCTAAAAGGAATTTTTATTCATATAGAGTCATCAAAACCAACATTTGAATCTATATTTCATCCAATTGAAGATTACAATATTCCATTTGAAACTGGCTATTATACGATTCGCCAATTAGCACTTGTTAGGCAAAGAGCATTTGCTAAATTATTTTCCAAAGTTTGTTTAATAATCTTTTGCTATATTTCATTTTCATTTTATTATAATAGTTTGATAGTCATTTTTCTGCTCATCGTGAATTTCGTTTTCAAGATCCAGTTCTTTTCAATCTTATTCAAGTAAATATCTTTTCGTTTCTTTTCACTTCCACAAGTTCTATTCATCAATTTAGAGTCTAACTACGGATGAAAATTCAACGAAATTAAAAGATTGGCAAAAAACATTAATGAATACTTATATATACTATGGAAAATTAAATGGTTGTCATTTAAAAAACGAAGAACTTGATCAAATGCAAATGGTCAATGGAAAACTTAATCAATATCAATATAGTTTTGCGTAGATACTTTTATTGGCTATCATACTTGATTATTCTCAGTTTTGTTTTCTTATAGCCAAAAAGTTCTCTATGCTAATAAGACATTTTCACATCTTGAACTCGATCCATTCGCTTTTGATGATGTACCATATCATATAAAACAGCAATTTGCTGTTGATAAGTATGATACTTATAAATACATATTGTATTCAAGTCAAATGAATTCTTGTTCAATAGAGCTAAACCAGATTCAGGACCATGGAAAATTGATTTATCTGATCGAACATTTCATACAATAATGTCTTATTGTGGTAATCGACCATTGAGAAAACTGATGTTTGAATCTTATTATGGTCGTGCATCACCAACTGTTGATCGACTAAATCGAAATGTTGAAAATATTGTTGAAATAATTCGACGAAGGTTTGAATTTATTATTTAAAAACACAAAATCATAGCTGTTTGTTTTATTTAGAAAGACAATTGCTAAATATCTTGGTTATTCTTCTTTTGCTGATATTATCCTACTCTCTAAAATGGCTCGTACGAAAGAAACAGTACAGGACTTCATTGAAACAACACGTTCAAAATTGAAACCAATTCATGATGAAAATATTCGTCAATTGACTTCATACGCACAAGAAAAAGCAAAGAAACCAAAAGAATACGAACAATTACAATCATGGGATATTGCCTATTGGCGTCAAAGGCAATGTCAAGATTTGTATTCATCATTAAAAATTGATTCATTACATATAAGTCGACATTTTTCATATGATAATGTTTTACAAGGACTTTTCAATTTTGTTGAATTTCTATTCGGTGTTAAATTTCAACCAGAAAGCAATTTTGATGAGCAAAATAAATGGCATAACGACGTACAAGTTTATAAATGTACTGAAAATGGTAAGAAAATATTTCGTACTATGAAATATCACTTAATGCGAATACAGAAAAATTCGTATTTTTCTTACCGACACTGTTGATGTACTATCATAGACTGTGTACCAATAAGCACTCGTTATGATGAATGAACTGCTTCGGTTCTTTTACATGACTTTGTTTTAGGAGCAACGATTGGACATTTGTTGATTGATGCATTTGCAAGGCCAAATCAAAAATCTGAAATATGTGCTGGCTTAGCAGGACGAGGTGATTAAAATATTGAAAACTTTTATTTAATATCCATTGTGCTTCATTTTTTTGTATAGATCTTTGTCAGCGTCATAATATTTTACCGGTTGCTTATCTAAACATGAGTTTGCCACGTATTGAAGGAACAGCGACTTTGATGAATTTATCACAGCTCAAAGAAATGTTCTTTACTGTATGTATTATAAACATGTCTAATTTATTTTTAAACTAAATTTGTACTCCTTTTTTCTTCGTAAGTTTGGTCGCGTTCTTCAAGTTCTTCTCACTCGTTCACCAAACCATGAACTCTCTGGCATACGTAATGTTGAAACTGATGCTCTGGATATTGTTCCCAATTTCTTCCTTCAATGGCTTCGTGATCCAAGTATTCTTTCTTATATAAGCCAAAATATTGAAACGAAACAAGTACTCGATGCTTCAATTTATAATCGAGCTTTAAATCAAATCGATCAGCATATGATAGCACACGATGTACTTCGACAATTATATTTAAGTGCACTTGATCTTGAACTTCATTCGAATGCAACAAATTATTATGATGCTATGGCTAAATTATGGTCTTTATTTACGCCAGTACCATTACATAATCGTGATTTTCATCCGTGCAGTTTCGAACAAATCTTTTCCGAACAATTAGCATCAGCTTATTATTCACATAAATGGTCTGAAATGATTGCATGCGATTTATTTAATGCTTTTAAAGAAGTAGGAATTACTGATAAAGATAGAGTTGCAGCACTAGGAAAAAGGTAATAGAACAGAAAGCAAAAGCTGATTTATTTTGATTGTTTCTTTAATATGATGGTGCGATATGTTTAGATTTCGTGAAACAATCTTAGCACGAGGTGGTACAATCGGCATGCAAGAACTCTTTCGAGAATTTCGATCCCGTGATCCAAGTTATGAACATTATGTTCAACGATTAACAACTCAATTTTAAACACTTTTCCTGTGCTAGATTGTATTGTTCTGACATTTCTGTTTTTGTGTAGGTAATAGCAAAATTGATGTATAAAAAAAGAACAATAAAACGTCAAAAATAAAATATCGAATGTAGAACAAAAAAACAAAAATTTTGAATAAGTTCGTAACACAAATCATTTTAGTTCGTGTTATTGCTATCGATGCATTGTACTGAAACATATTAAGTAATTCACGGGATGGTAATGTTTTGCCATAAAATATTCGGCCATTTTTTGTCATTGAAAGACAATTAATTTGGCATGATTCATTTTACTATTTTTCCTACGAAATGAAATAGAACAAGTATCAATAAACTGTTTTTTTGGAAGAGCCAAAAATTGTGTCCATACAAAAGAAAGTGGCGTTTTAAGAATGGCCCTTAAGTTTTTTTCTTCTTCTTAGAGCTACTTTCATTCAATATTTGTGTAGATTACGCCGTTTTCTACACAATGATAACCGACAATAAGAGAAATATCATTCATGCGAAACGCATTCTAATCAGCTGTCTTTGAGAGACTGGAGAATGAATGAATATGTAGTGGTAAAACTTTCACGTCATAGATTATTTTACTAAGTTATCAACTATCTTTGTAAACGAAAAATGAGAATAGTGGTTGCCACGAATAGCTTCCTCCATAAATGCATTTTATTGTATCTGGCTAAATCTTGATGGCATTATACTGTTAATTCCACTAATAAACTTGACATGTGGATTACAAAAAGTATCCATGGCACGCAACATTGGTCTATACAAAACTCTGAATATCTTTGCTATAAAGTTTCAATCCTAATAGTATACTATCATTGTGAACAATTTAAAGAATTCGAAGCAAAGTTATTTGAATAGATCGTATTTCTAAAACAGCCGGATAAACATTGGCAGTGAGTAATACAACGAAATTTATGAATTTCATATGACATTCTTCGAATAAATATTATTCATATTTTTTTGAGAAAAAACAAACTTTTCTAAAAAATGTACAAGTACTTGTTTTCATTCAAAAACTAAACTAAAATACATCATAAATGCCAAATAAAAAACACAACCGAAGAGCTTTGACTGTAAATATCAGACGTAAACGAGAACACGACCACAAAAAGAAGAATCTGTTTTTCGTCATTTAACTCCCACTGAACTGACTCATTCGATCATCAATACGTTTTAATATAGTTGCCATGGAATTCATTTGTTGTTCGACTACTGTTAAACGTTCATTAAACGTTTGTAAATGTTCAAGAACAGTTATTTGGCCAGTACGAGATTGGCTAGGTGAACGTTTAATACGAGCTTGTGACGCAAAACTATTATTATTCGAACGTGATAATAGAATATTATCGCGTGATGCAGGCACATAGCCAAGTGTCGAATCGAGTCTTAAGAAAAAGGAAATGATTAATTTGAAATTGGTTCTTTTTTGTTTCATTAAAATTATTATTACTTTCGTTGTAAATCTTTTAATCGAATCATTAATGTTTGATTATCTTCAGCTGTTTGCTTAACAATTTCCGACATATCATTTGGTTTTCTTGCTTCCTTTATTTCAAAGAAACGTTTGAAAGAAAAACTGATACGTTTCTATTGAAAAATCTACCTGAAATTTTCGACGTGCAACAAAAAATTTCATTCGTCGCATCACACGAATAGCTTGCTTAAATTTTTCTGGTAATCTATAAACGGATAAATTACTAGGCACATTTATATTGAGCCAAAAACTAAATATTGACTTACTGCTCTCCTTCAATTCTAGATGTTAACGGTGAATGATCCGATACTGACTGATCATCTGTTAGAATAAAAGAAAAATTGCCTTAAATAAATATTCGTTTAATATTGTTTCTTTTTTTTACTACAATTCTGTGCAGCAGATCGTCGTTCAAGCATTGCGCTATGGTATGATCTTGATGTCGCTCTGTCTCCTTTGAAAAATGGAAATGTTTATTTTATTTCCGATTTAAAAAATAATTCAAACCAAAATGAGGATCAATAAGTTTATATAAGCGCCATGTTGCATTGTCATGTTGAGTACGACTCGTTGCATACATACGCCATGCTGTTTGAATTAACTGTGCCGCAGCTGGATATTGCTTATGATACAATTTTTGTTTTTCTTTCTGTTGAACATGTAAAGCAAAGCCGGATCCTTGCAAAACATAAAAACGAAATTAATCATAAACGTTTGATCTATGTACAAACCTAAAATTCCCTAAAAGAAAACGATAAATTTATCTGATTGAAATAAATAATTTGGGGCGCTTACTGCAGGTAAACTAAAAAACGCAATCCCAATCATGGATAGACAAGCTGTTACAATCTTTCCAGCCCCTATTAATGTTGCAATTTAAAAAAGCATATTCTAAGCATGTTTTGTAACTTACACGTATGCGGAACACGATCTCCGTAGCCAATTGTAGCAACTAAACAATTTGAATAGATTATTTGATCGTTAAATGAAATTTCTTACCAGTTACAATACCAAACCAAAGTGCATCCGCATAAGATTCAAATTGTTTGCTTCCATCAAAAATATAATCTCTTTCAGCCAAATAGACTAGATACGATGTGATAATAAGTACAATAAAACCCATATACATCGTTGTTATTAATTCAATTCGATGAAGATACGCTACATTAAGAAGAAGTTTCCATGAATGTGCTTTACGGTCAACATGTAACATGCGTAGAATTTGAAAAAAGCGAATGATTCTAAATGTTGAACGAAATTGAAATTACTAAGAAATGATTTTGTTTTTCGATTTTACCGAAGTGCAGGTGATGCTGCCATTACTGAAAACAAAAATAGACAATGCACATTCTATACAATCCAAAGAAGAAGATAAAAAACCTTATCGATGAAGTCCCCCCTGAGATGAAAAAGTATAGAACCAAAATATACATTAACTAAAAGATATCTAGACGATTATTGTCGTTTTTTCAAGAATAATTGATCATTAGATGAAATGATCAGATTTCATTATTTGTTTTCTTATGACTTGGCATGTTGACCCTTGATTTTACTTCGTTTAACATTATTACAATTCTGACCTTTGATTTATCTTGTAAATGAGCTTCTTCTACTTATTCATTATATCTCTAACGAGTCTGAATGCATTCTTACGTACCTCGGTACACTGAGAAGAAATATTTCCGCTGATTATTTAATGCTTTCTATGTTGATCATAGATTTGGTGTCACAAGTATGCGCATCAATGTTTACCATTCTTGATATCTCGATTGTAAATTGTCACTTAAACAAGAACCGAAAACTGGATTGTTTCGAGTATTTACTTACGCATTCTTACTATTCGTGATTATAAAAATTTCTAATTCTTGTTGATGGCGTCCTTTGACATATTTTCTTGTTATCAGACAACCTCTGAGAACAGACTCTGATGTCCTTTGTCCTCAGTATCAAATTGTTGAATAATTAGTTTTCTTATCGTTTAACATAATTACCTGGGTTTGCTGAACTGATTCGACCCGATATATGAAATCCGATGACAACCGATGAAGCAAGAACAACAAACACATCAATCATACTAATTGGTGTTTTCATAAACTTAATTCGGCCAGTCAAACCTTTGAATTTAGCACGACAGCCAGCTGACCAAACACGTATAACATATTCTGATGCAAAGAAAATTAGTAAAACAATCTCCTAGAAAAGAATAAAAGAAGAATAATTCTTAATATGAAAGAACTTTGCTTCTTATTTTTAAAATTTACCACATAAATAAATTTTTGTGTTATTTTTTCTTCATATTCGCTTATGGTACATATAACACCGATGACCAAACAGGAAAGGACAACAAAAAACCTAAGATAAAACTCAAGTTTATTTGATTCTCCAAGTTTTTTTTGTCTTCTTCTAATTATATCAAATCAGCAACAACAGTTATACAAAACATGCAAAACAAAGAAAGTACATTCTCATACATATAATCAACTTACGAATTTTTTTTTCATCCGTCTGGTTTTCGTACTATAAAAATTCTTTTTCTTTCATGCTGTTTTTAGAATATGTGAAAATATGCTTCCTTTCATCTACTCACTTGGGAACCATTTGCAAAGCATGTTCGCGCTTAGATAAAAAAGATATTTTTTCTACTCATTAGAATTCTGAGCATTTTAAAAAGTTTTAGATAACGATTATTTTAAAATTTTTTATATTGATTTTTGTTTGTTGATATCCAGTAGTTCAAAACACAAATTTAAAAAATACCGTATTTTTTTCTATTATAGTAAGCAATCAAGTAAAATCTATATTTTGTGATTTCAATATTCGATGAAATTTTCCTATCAGCTGTATGTTCACTACCAAATTTGAAAAAACTTTGATTAGGAAATCTTCAAATCCTAGAAGATCTTGCCGAAATGTTTTTCTTTTCATAATGTAAATTCAAAATCACAATATTTCCTTCACACTTTTCCCTAATGAATAGAAGTTATAGAATAATAGCAAGATTTTTGTATTTTTGTCGTATTTTTAACTTTATAATGGAGGGTCTTGTAAAATGCAATAGACCCTCATTCTATTCAGAATTGTGTACCCTTGAGTAATGGTACGTTAGAAAGAGCGTACCGAAAGATCTTTTAAGACCTAAAAACTTACCTTATCCTATTTATTTCGAAATCTTGCCATGAAATCTTGCACTAGACAACATCATTAACTTTCGTGATCAACATCTCGATTTGAACTAATGCACGAATATTGCAAAAAGAACAGCCGAAATAAACAATTGCACAATTTTTCCTCAGTTTCATCCAAAAAAAAATAGGAAGATGTCATTTATGAATGTCTTATTACACTAAAAAATGATAGACGAAACAAATCCAACCACGACTAGGCCGTTCTATATAAAAACAAAATTTCGAAATATTTTTTTATCAATACAAATGAGTTTTTAATACCAAGAAAGTTGTAAACTTTCTTTTGAAATATTTTCATGTCCATACCGAAGTACAATCCATCATCATCCGATCTCATTATCTATAAATAGACATAATCTCTGGTAGTTGTGATGTATCCAAAGAATAAAAAGAATTTAGTAAAGATGTTTTTATTATTCAAAAGAAAAAAAGAAAACTAATGATACATTATCAAACATATTGATTTATTCGATCGGTGCATAGTTTTTCAATATCATCTAAACTGAGATGATCGACAGCATTTTTCATTTCCTACAAAATAGAAAACGAAAACTAAAACTATTCTATTGATATGAAGTAGTTTATTATTTACTTGTTGAAAAGCATTTACAAATGCGTCACGTTCAGTTGGACTTTGAATCCATTTCGATGCCAATATATGAAGTTCATTTGCAAATGCATTATTGACCGGCTTACTTGGTATTGTTGAATGCTGTGTTGAGACGATTAAATGTAATTTTGAACCATCAACTATTTGATAATCTCGTATTAAACCATCATGTAAAGGTTTACCTTTGAGAACTATTTTTTGTTCATTTATTGGAATATTTAATTGGGCAGAAAGACGAGATTTTAACTCTTGAATTGTATCCAGGGGAGATACCTGATATTTGAATTATTTTTATTAAGGCACAATAGAAATAGATCAATCAAACTCACTTTTAATTGAATTTCGGCTAATGCCGGATTGTTAAGTACTTTAATATGAATCAACATCTAGAAATGAGCGTACATCCGCTTACATACAATTGTCTATTTCTTTTGTTTTTCTCTCTCTCTCTCTCTCTCTCTGATAAATATACTAAATTAGATATTGATCTCTAAAAAGTAGAACTATGTATATAGTAGAGGGGAGCAAACACTAATAGACACAAAAACAATTGCTCAGAACAAAAAACCGCTTGATCAAATAAACAGAAGAACAATAAAGCAAAACAAAAGTACATAAAGAGTCAGGTATGATCTCCATAACGAGGACGATTACACGATAATAAGAATGAAGGAAGAGCAGTAAAAACAACGAATAATCAAAGAATAATATGAAAGAAAGAAAGAAAATTTAGTCTCGTTCCTCGATCTGTGATAATGGTGCGGCTACAGTATCACCAACGCCTTGTCGCTGTCGTTTAGCAGCACGTAATTTGGCGATGCGTGAGTTTTCTGGCGCCAGATGATTAATATTTTCATCATCATCCGCATCGGCTCGGCGTTGAGCATGATTTGCTGCAGCAACTACAGGTAAATATAATTATTTATAAAAGGAAAACCTTAATTTTTCGTGATAAACTCACTCTCAACCTAAATACAAAAAATAAAGTAAAATTAGAGAGTTCAAACAAAATATTTTAAATTTTCTACATACACGCATTTGTTCGTAATTTTCTGCGTCAAGCATTGGACGAATATCAATTGGAGTCTCAGGTACTGTACCTGTAAACCACGGACATTTAATAATCCAACCGATAACTACACGATCAGCTGGATCAACGGTGAGCATTTTCTGTATAATTGACTTCGCTTCTTGTGAAACATTTTTCCATTCATTTTTAGGAAATTGATATTCACCAGCTTTTATTTTTGTTTTCATTCCAGCACTAATAGCACCTCCATGTGTAGAGAAAAATGGAGGATAACCACATAATAATATGTACATTATCACACCCATGGACCAAATATCACATGCCTTGAAGTAAGAAAAGAGAATAACAACGATTGAAATTTTAGTTTATAGAAACTAGAACTGATTACTTTATCATATTTGTCGTTTGATAAAATTTCTGGTGCAACATAGTACGGAGTATAACTAAGAAAAATAAGAAATAACGATACAATTGAGAAAGATTTTTCAATTTTTTCATCAAGAAACGAATATATTTTTTATCTATACTGTTTGAAAATCTGAACTCTAGAAAATTTTATTATTATAAATTTTGACGTCAATGATTATGTTTGTTTTTTTGTAAATTCGACTACATGAACTGTTATGAGATGACGATTTGATGGTCTTCAGAAGACTCAACACAAACAAAAAGTCTTAGTCAATATTACTCATAGTTTCAAGCTGAAAAGAATAATGCACCAGATTGAAATGGCACAATTTGAATGGAACAATTCATTCTCGTGTGTTGCATCAGGAAAAACAGGGAGGAGGAACTTCTGACTAGTTTGAATGGCGCAATATTGATGCCGACATACTTTATGTAAATGACCTTCATTGCGCATTTTTTGTGAAAGAACACATTCAGGCACACTCGCTTCATTCTCTCTCTTATTACGATTTTCTTTTTATGAGAAAAAATAGAAATAACGTTTTTTTTCTCTTTTTAAGTTGAGCATAACTGAGACTTGAAATATTATTCATGTTATTTCACTGATCAATATTTTGTTGGAAAACTCAAGCTGTATTCTTGTAGTTAATTATGGCATGAATACTTGTTTTTAAATAAAGTTAATATTTGATGATAAACATTGACCTCAATATTGGAAAAGAATCAAAGATATATGTTTTGATGCACTCATTTCTATTTCGACCTTTATCTCAAGGGCATATTGTGATTCTTTTTAACTAACTAACACTGCGTAAAATAATTTTGTTGATTTTGTACTATGAATCTAATCAATGATATCTTCATGTAGAAGTCTAAATAATTCATTTCATAATGACAATATTTTCCTACCATGGTGTGTTTAATGGACGTTGTTCATTATTGCCTTAAAAATTAAGTTTTACACCTGTATATATATATATATTCATACAAAAATTATTTTTAACATACCTTCTTTTGCAAAACCAAAATCAGTTAGTTTCAGTAGAGCTGAATTGGAAGTATTTGTAAAAAGTAAATTTTCGGGTTTAAGATCACCTATAGTTAAGTCAGTTAAAAACTAACAAAATTTCTAGAATATAATCACTCACGATGTGCCTAAAAAACACTAACGATAGGTAAATCAATAAAAAAATTCCGAATCTATCTTACAATATCCATATTATGTAAATGCGATACTGCTGTAGCAATCATTAGTATAATATTTGCTGCTTCACGTTCGGTATATGGTTTATCTTGACGGTCTCGAATACGATTAAATAACTCTCCGCCTTCCATACTGAAAACAAAATTTTGATTATGTAATTTGATTTAGAAAAATAAAATCAACGAACCATTCCATGACTATAAGTAAGCATCGATTTGCTGCGTACATATTTTCCTGTTATAAAAAGAAACAAAATGTTAAAATCTTCACAAACATTTGGTGGAAAATTTCGACATACATATACATCAAGTACTTTAACAATATAATCACATCCATCACAAGCTTTTTTATGTAAAAAAACTTCACGGCGAGCTTTATCGGAATCTTTCAAAATCTACAATGAGAGAAAGAAAATGTTTTATGCGAAAAAGCAAAAACTTAAAAAAATCACTTTACTTTCAAAGCACATTTACGTCTTGTAGCACGATGCCAACAGGTAAGAACTTTACCATTAATACCAACACCTAATGATTCTTTCGATACTTCATACTCATCGGTAACCGCATTACGACGTGTTGCAAAGGGAAATTGGCGATATTTTTCCGAGATATTCGAAGGCCTAAAAATATTATTTCAATTAATAATTTACGCAAGTAAATTATAATAATATTTGTTAATTCATTCTTTATAAATATATATATGTACATGTTACTCTGTTTTACTTACATGCTTTCACTTATATGAAGAGATGTTAAACCAGTTTTATCGTGTGTCTGATGCTGCTGCTGCGGCGTTTTTGTTTCAACGATCGGATTCGAAGTAGGCGCATTATGATGTCCCTTTTTATATTTTCGAAAAAGATCTCGAAGACCCATTTCAGATTATTTCTATCTTGAAAAACTGTGATACTTTTCGAAAATAGAATAGTAAATAGTAAAACAAAACCAACACACACTGTGCGAAGAGATTAACAGAAATCCATATGGTACCACTTTTACTCCATACTAATGCATCGCACTCTAGTTGTCACCTTTCTTTATGACTAAACTACCACCTACATACCTTACTCATGTATGTCAACACAAAAAAAATAAGGAATCAGTTTGATATCTAGTACCATTACGTGTTATGCAAACGATAATAAATAACTTATTTTTCTTTTCTCTGTTTTCTTCATTTTCAAATGATAATCATATTGACGTATTCTATACGCATTCATTATTCTTATTGGCTAAACGCAATTTATGTAGAACCTAATAAAGTTCATGTAAATATCACCCTTAGATACAGTAAAAAGGAGGAATTGATGTACTAGACGAAATCTTGTCTTATTACCTTACATTGATTATTGGCGCACACTTTCAAAATATTTTAAAAAAATGACTTTGATAAGATGTCAAAATACGAACAGTCTACATCAACCGTAATTCTCTTGTATCGCTTTATAGAGAGAAAAAGAAAAACAGAATCCGATGTGGAATACATAATTTGGCCACCAACAGCAGCAGCAAGAAAGAAACTTTTTTTACCGTCCTTTCAGTCATCAAAATCAGGTATAACTATTTTCCTTTCAATAAAACATAACAATGTTTACTGGTCATACTTGATTTCAATCATTGCTACCTACTTTTTACTCGACGATGTTTTTTTGTCTGCCATAAGAATTGTTGTTAAGTAATTGTCTTGAACAAAGAAATAGAATCAAATAAAAAATCTAAAGGTAATCATATGAGTAATGAAATGTTTAAAGTGATTTGTTTATGAAACAACATTATGAAATTTTTATTATGCTACTAATCATTTTTTTTTCTTCCATGTTTCTATATTTTTAAATGACACCAAGGCAATAATAACAACAAGCATAATAATGACGAATGAGTGATCAAATAAACATGAATTAGTCCTATATTTAAATTTTGATGAATAAAAAGAATAAATTAAGTGTTTTAATCGAAGGATGAAAACATTTCAACGAAATGGAATAAAATACAAAAATTTCAAGACCGATAGCGCTACGATCGTAGTAGCTATTTTAAACCAATGAAAACATCCATCGTCAGCTGCTTATCCTATGCTATCACATCGTGATTATTTATTTCGTCTAAATATTGTAATTTTATCAGTTAATCAATTGTTGTTTTTAGTTTTTTTTTCATAAAAAAAAAATGATGGAAAAAATAAGATTTACGGATTTTAGATATCAAAAATTTATTATTGTTTATGGCAGAATTAGAACGTCCGCGAACACGCCCGGACAAGGTAGACTTTAAGAAACATGTTATGCATTAATTTTTTTATGTATAGAAACAAGTAAAAGAAAGAACTGTAGCTGATGAAGAATTACAATTAGAAGATCGAATACGTGATTTGAAAGAATATTTTGACGAAAGAAAAGTAATTTTATTGAATAGAAAACATATTTATACTAATGTTGTCAATTCTTTTAAAAAAATTTAGAATCAAACTACGAATGAAACTGTAGACGATGGCAATGTAAATACTGAAGCATCCTCTACTGATACTGAATCAAGTCATGTACATTCAGAACATATTATTCAAGAAATGGCAACGAATTCAGAAATAAATTCCAATGAAAATAATGCTGATACTAATACAACTACGCAAGAGATTGTTATCGGCACTGAGAAGAATATAAATGAAACACCCATTGTATATGATCAAACTTTAGTCACTGAAGAAATCAACGAACCTTCTGTAACGGCCAATGATTATAACAACGTAATAGTCGAAAATAGAATAGTATGTATATCACTCTAATAGGCGTACAGAATTGATTTCGTTAATCTTTGACATTGCAGTAGTAAAATATTCTTAACATATATAGATATATTCAATGAGTCATCAACTTAAAGTATTGATTTTCATTTAAATCACTTCCGTTGACAAGTAATACTTCAGATTAAGAAAAAAAGACGTCCTCTTGTGATGTCCGCCCAGGTCGAAAAATCTGACACAAGATCTTATGAAACACATACAAGATCTTGGAATACGGGCGAAATCTTACAAGAATTTGACAAAAATCGTAGTTCCTGAGATCTTAGATCAATTTGCACAATCAGATTCTTGAAAGATCTTACACATTAATACGATCTTTGAAGAATCTGATTGTTCGACCTGGGCATGAGAAATAAAAACTAACCTGAAAACATACTGTATGATTATGTGTAGGATATAACTCTTCTATCAATTATATCTTGTCTAATATGAAAGTGGAGGTTTTCAGGGCTTATGAAGTCTAGAAATAATTGTCAACTCATTTCCAGGAGACCTTTGCAATAAAAATCACGAACAGTAAGACTACTTCGATCCAAAAAGTAATCATTAAAGTTCCAATGTGTTTGTTTAATAGAACAAGTTTGTTATTATGTCAAGCACATTGCTCTTTCTAGTAGGAGGGTTCGTATTATGTCCAAGATGTCATTCGACCCTGGGGGACACTTCTATTAGGAGTAGATGAGACTCTCACTTACAGTAAATATATAAATTAACCATTTGTATACCTCAATAAAACAATCAGTTCTGTTAATCTTCTGATCTAACAGATCATATTAGTTTGAAGAAAGTGATAGTATTGTTTGTCATATACAATATATCAGATCAAATAAAACAACAAATGTTTGTGATTATTATTGTAGATTTGAATTGTATTGAAAAGGTGTCTTCTGCGCGTTAAAGATTATAAATCTTAAGAGAAACTAATTTTTCTACTTTTTTTCCAAAAAAATAGGCCTTTGAATCAAACGAAGATCAATCTGAGCTAGTTGCTACGAATCCTTTAATGGAAGAAGCATCTTCATCCAATTTAACTAATTATGAAAATACAGCTTGTATGTATCCTCACCTATCATTATCACTGTGGTCTCCTGCAACAGCGCCATTATCATCATTTGATTTTGAAAATAGTACAGCAATAACTGATCCTTACTCAATTGAAAATTTCAATCCATCTAATTTGCAATACGAACTACGTCAAACATATTTACAATTTATAAATATAACTGATGAATGTTTTCTTAGTGAACATGAAAGTTTTATTACTGATAATCCACGTAATCGTTCATCAATAACAAAAGATGACACCGATCAAAATAGTTCGAGTGATGATGACGATGAATTTTATTTTCTGATATCATCATTTTATGATATACGTACAAAAATTGATCAATTAACAAATGAATATGATGTATTACAACGTAAAATAGCTTCATTATTACCACATGTATGGTCATTTTCATGTGAAAAAATTGAAGCCGGCTCATATTGTGGTGATAATGTTTATTTGAAACGTTCAATACTTTATGAGCAAGCAAATTTTGATCGAAATTTAGCTAAAGAAATTGAAGATACATTAAAAAATTTACGTACCATTATTTATCAACAATATGTTGCATTAAAATATGAAACATTATGGTATAAAATGAAAATTGATATATATATTCATAATTTAATATCATTAAATAAACCAACGAAAAAATTATTACATGCAATTGAAATTTTATTTAATTTTCAACGTTACCGTACACGAGATGCATTGTTTTATTCGTATACAAGACAATTATTAAAACAGACAATTGACATTGTTTATAGTTATGGAAATTATAATGAAACATTATTTATTATTAATCATGTACTTCGTTGTCCACCTGGTATTCATCAATGGGCAACAAATTTCGTAAGATTTCTACTGCCGACATCATTTGAAATTCTTTGTTCCCCTATGTATATACGCTATGTTGCACATTTTCTTGCTACACTTTTATTTCCTGTTAAAAATCGTGATATATTTTTACAAAATTGGTTAGGAGAACATGGCGAACGAGTACCTGAGATGTTATCATTGAATGCAGCAAAAAATCAACAACAATGGATGTTAATTGATGCTGATGGACATGAACGTGCAGCTTTATTACGATGGGATACATTGAATGAAGATGATCTCATTGCTTTATTAAATCAGTTTAATTTAAATTATTTAATGAAAATACTTTTCAGTTTAAATGACCAAATTAATCAACGACAACAGAATCTATCCTATGAAAATACATTAAGAATATTAGCAATATTAGATTTATTTGTTGAAATACTATGTCGTGGTTTTGATACTTATGCTGATTCACAATATAGAAATTTTCATAAGCATATTGGAAAAATGATTAGGTAGTTCATTATTTTTTTTTCAGAAAAGAAACTCGAAAAATAAGTTTTTCTGTACGTGTATATACGATAGATCAGATTTGCTTTTGAATAGTTATGATCTTTCATTAATTTTCGTTTTAACCTTTAGGGATTGTGTTCATGTGTGTCGATATCACGTCGATGGTGTACTTCAACATTTAGATAACGATGATAAGATACGTTTAAGAGATCATTATTTTGCTTATATCTATCGATCGGTCGAAAATATTATTCGACAATGCAGGTAAAGATAGATAGTGAGAATTTAAATTTCACACGAATGAAATTTGTTTTTCATATAGAAATGTTCGCTGGAGTTTATTATCCTTATTTGCATTATTTGATCTTCCGCAATCTTTACAGTATCGTTTACTTCATCTTATTTGTTCAATACCAGATGATGAGCCTGTAACCGGTAATTATAAAAATTCGATTTTTATCTATTTACAGAATAATTTTAAAATAGTTGAAACAAGTGCAGCAATTGACCAAATGTTAAATTCTTCTACGCCAAGTGAAATTCTATCACTTCTCAAAGTTCTTCATAATTTAGGACAAACAGGTGATGAATCTGGTCAAATTTCTGATGTTATTTTTTATATAACATGTCTTCATCCAATATCACGCGAATATTCAATACGTGATGGTCGTTCAATATTAGCACATTTTGCTTCATTACGGCCAACCATTATCAGTCATTTGTTGAAACTAGCATCAACACATATTGATGCTGTTGGAAAAGTTTTATTTGGAATTTTTCGTGCATTACCCATGAATATATGGATGCCAAATGATAGTGATTTATCAATAATTGAAAAATGGCTGGAAGATATTTCACAATCACCAGTTGCATTTCAATTAGCACTTCATTTAATCGATACCATGAACTGGCAAGACTTACCAGATAAACGACAATTCTGTATTTCATATACAATACATTGTGAAATGGCATTGATTTTATTAAAACTACACTTGAAATATTGTGACAAATCAGCGGCATCCAAAGAAAACCAATTACAAGTAAAAATAAAGACAAAAATAAGTTTTTTAATATGAATTTCTGTTTTTTTTGTATAGCTTCAGAATTTTTTTAAACTAACACAAATCAATCTTGATCAATGGATATGGACTACAGTTTTACGCTTACAACTTAATCAATCCTGCCTTTCAGTGGATTCATTTATTGATAGTATGAGTCAAGAACATGTACCTAATATGAATGACATACGACATAATAGCTCAACGGATAGTGGAATGTCCGATGACGCTATTAATGATATTCGACGTGCTGTTGAACAGTATCACAATCACATTGCATATTACATATCATTTGGTCTTGATCAACCTGGCGCTAGGTTAGTTTTCATTTCGACACCGCAGACTATCCCTTAAGTTAAAATCGATAAAAGAAACAAACCTCAGATAATAATTTTCATCAATCCAGAAGATCTGCAAAAATCTTTATTGTTCATATTAATTCATGAAAAAATATTTTTTTTAGTGCTACTGGTTTCTTTGAAAAGGGTATTGAATATTTATGTCAACTTGTACAGAATGGTAAATATTCCGCAGCGATTCGAATTCTTCACGATATGTCTGGCATTTTAATACGTAGTGCCGATTATTTAATTGAACATGTTCAGTAAGTTATGAATGTTCTAAAAATTGTACATGAAACAATAAAAAAACAAATCGGGGGGTTTATCTGTTCATTAGATCAAGCGATTTGCATCATATTTCATGTAATTCTATCTATGGCAGATTCACGTTGTCTTAAAGAGCTTAAGGGAAAAGACCACATTCCAGAATTTTTCTTTCGCACAATAGAAATAATCCTCGTTACTATCCCAGTCTCATTTGATTTGAAATATCATGTCAGTCGTTTGAATTATTGAGAAACTATTTGTGTCGACTTTGCTAATATATCTTATCTACTTCTTTTTGGCAAATTTTATTGTTTAGATTTATGAATACATTAAAAACATTGATCAATACATCTGATGCATCAATGTCTTTATTAAAAACGGCATCATCATATATTATTCAACAAAGATCTTTCGATGAAACAGCAAATACGAAACTATTAACAGCAGCCATACTTGATTTACTCATATGGCTAGAAGATAATCCCAAATTTCGACGTTTAGTATTATTACTTTGGTTTAAATTATTAACAGCATTGAAAGATTGGAATCGAGACAAGTAAATTAACAAAATACATAGAAAAAAATATGTATGAAATTCTTGTTTTAGTTCAATCCTATTCATTCTTGACAATCTTCTGGTGCATTCATTTGTACACGATGTTATGAATAAAGAAGTTACTGATCATTTATTTGAATTAGCTGTTGTAAGTTTCTTAATATTTGTTGTAGAAGATCCTATTCTATGACATCCAGAAAGCTTCAGATTAATCGACAATCGAATTAAAACAAGGAATATTCAAAATAGCCGTAGCAATGTTATTAGTTATTTAAAAAAATGTTTTTATAATAGGCGGATAGCTGAGAGAGAGAGAGAGAGGGAGCTCAGTTTGATTACAATTTTCTCTATATTGCATGCTTGACTTTTTCATATGTGTCAGTTTCTTCTTGTGAAATGTATTGTGGTAATCAATTAATTGTATAATCGGCCAGAAAATATTTTTGATTGTTTCAATTTAGTCGGCATTAAATCCAAGGCAGAATCCACAAGTAACACGTTCAGGCTTTCTATCATGGATCCCATTGCCATCAGCCGTAACTTCATCGCAAACATATTGGTCATCATTATCAATCGATTCTTCTCTTCTCTCTCGTTATCCAATCGTTAGTTATTATTTTTTAAATGCTGAAAGTTCATTTGAAATCGATCAAAATGTTCTTGTTGAATTAAAAGCTGAACTTGAATTAAATCCAACTGGTAAAGTTGATCAAATTTGGAAGGTTTGCTATTTGAACTATTGACATTTTTTTTTTGAAGAAAAACATTTTATATCTTTGTTTTGATTAGAAATTAATTCAGCAACGACATTATCCATATATTCCTCTAACAAGTTTATCAATCTATCGTTGGGGTACAATGGCATGTGAAATGCCAGTAGCTCATACATTATTACCGCTTGTTTGGGAAAAATTCTTTACTATCTATTTATCTAAACATGATAATTGTCTTCATCGTGTTGGCTATCGTTTATTTGAAACTCCTGCTCAAACAACATTTCTTAAACAAATGAAACGTTCATTATGTCAAGCATGCGAATATTATTCTTCTTCAACAACAACAAATTCACCATATGCAAATCAATTATCAAACTTCTATCAGTCATTATCGTTATGGATTGATGAACCACGTTTGCATGATCCACAACTAAATATTGTTTCACTACCAAAACAATATGATAATGAACGTTTAGAACATTTATTTAATACTGACTATCGTATATTTGATATAAAATGGCTTGAATTAGTTGATTTAAGACAAATGTATGAAACATTAATTAAATTTACAAACGAATTATGGTCAAGGCAAAGATTAATCGATGATAATCATAATCGAAGTTCAACAATAAATCAAAATAGATCAGTAATGACATCATCACAAAAACTTGTTGATCTTGTTTCGAATGTTCAACGTCCAATAATAAATTCGAAAGTAACAGTTGTAAATACCGAGCAATTATCGGAACCAAATCAACAAGCATTACCAAAAGATCAAAATGAAATAAAGATTTTATTTGAATCAGAATTATCGAAAATTACTAATTGGATACAAACACATTTTCAACGGCATGAGAAACAAATTGAACTTGATCAAACATTAATGAGTTTACTACCGTTATTATGGAAAAATGAATTTCAAGAGGTATTTTAATCTACTGACTATGACTAAAATTTAGAAAAGCAATAAAATAAATCGATTTGAATGAAGTAGACGTATTGGAAGATACACCACTAGCTATGCGCTTTCAAAGAGCTTAGATTAGTTTATTTTTGTTTTTTGTACAAATTAATAGATTTTATTTTTCTTGAACATGCTATGAAACTATAAGGGTGATTATCTAGATGAAAAGCAAAACAATGAATTAAAAGCTTACAATAAAATTAAACAAAATCATTTATACCTCTTCGTTTCGTTTATTTTTAGCAATCCATTCAAGCTTCTTGTCAAAATGTTATAAATCCTGTTCATCAATGTACACGTCCTGCATACATAATTGTTCGTTACAAATCTAAACAACAATGTCAAAATTCGAATCAACGCCTTGAAATAATTTTAAACGAACATAAACAATTATTAACTGATGCATGTCGTTCATGTGATATAGATATTTGTCGTTCAGTTGATTTACTCATACAGATAGTTCACTATTTAACACGACAATTATCATCAACATTTCTCAATGAAAATCAAACTCTAATGATCATCGACATCGGTACACAATTATTTTATTCACTATTGTTAGTTTATAATGATAAGCACAGTGAATATATGCAACCATTATCTGAACAATTAGATTCTCTATTTGATACACTGGGCGAAATATTTGTGAAATCAAATCTTCGTCAACCGCAAGTTATATTAGAATATATTGTTTTAAATCGTCCGAATATATCACGTCTTATACCTTATTTTAATCCGAATTCATTAATACAATCGGAAAAATTTATTGATATCTATAAAAAATTATCGAAAATGTTTACATTTGTTGAATATACACCCTATTTGTTGCAAATGTTTCGAAAATTTAACGTAAAACAATGGTTTGAAAATGCATCGAATCCCAAGCCACGTTTAGAATTTATCGATGCATTGTTTAGTCATTTTCGTGCATTGGTTGAAAATTATACTTTAGCTGCTAAACGCGATAATCCGCCTGGTTATGATGAGCTACCATTGATTGAACAAACGAGTCAATTATTTGATGTCTCAATAGGTCATATGATACAAGTATTAAATTATTCGTATCCATCGCAAATTGGTTATTTATTTCGTCATATGATTGAAAGTATACAAATAATGAGAAAAAAGCAAAAAATAATTCAACAACAGAAAAACTCTTTAGCACCGTTAGAATTTCAACAGTCCATTGAACGTGGACTTTTGCCAACGAAAGTTTTATCAGAATTTCTAGATCAAGTTCATTATTTAGAAAGTACTTCTACAACAATTACACTTGGAAAACAACAGATAGATGAAATGATTCATTGGTTACAATCATTTGTACTTAAACAAACCGTAAGTATTATTTTTTTAGACGAGAAAGAGCATCTGGAAGATAATTGAATTTCGAGCTAAACTTTTATTGATAGATAAACTCTCTCGATACGCCCACAGGAAAAAGGTGAGACGCCTTCTGCTCTTGGAAAAAAATGTGAAGTACTACAGGGATAACAATGTCATAGTGATTGTACATCAGATACGAAATCAAGATTTTATTTCGGACATTTAAGTGAAAAAAAAACTTTTTTTTTTGAAAAAACGGATATCTTAGGAAACTTAAGAAAGAAACGTCTTCTGAGATCGATGAATTTGAAACATATTCCAGAGTTTTACAAAGGTCTATATTTTTAATTTTAAGGGAAAATAAATAAAATCGAATTTTCTAATGTATGACATGAAACTTTTCTAGGAAGAACAAAATGATAAACTTCTAATTCAATTATATAAATCATGGCGACCGTGTTTAAATGAACTGACCCGTATTTATTCAATAATGTTAATTTTAAACATGCAAAAACGTCGAAATCATCATGATATAAATATATCTCAAATATTCGAGCAAGTTCTCTTACTTTATAGTCCATTTATTGATCAAACATATGCGCTATTTTCTTTAACTGAATGGAAAACGGTAATCGATCATCACGGTGATATGTTGACACGATTGATAAAAACATTTATACAATTATCCGAAGAATTATTTAAATATCTTAATGAATCATATAAGCATCAACAAGAATTTTTTCATTGCATGTTTCAATATTGGTATAAAATTGCTAAATGTTTAATAACAAATGAATACACACATTCAATACTTGATATATATCATCGATATTTACCACGGCTATCATGGACAAATTTTCGATTAACAATAGAATGTTTATTAATATTTGATGAATTAATTAATGCAAATAATGCAGAAAATAATCCATCGGCATCATTATATGAATTTATTATTCATATATTATCTACTATTGATATACATTCATGGATGATTGAAAATGATGAAAATTTAATTATGTCATTAGTACCAATTCATTTTCGATTATTGGTTAATATGTTCTTAAGTCCACAAGCGAAATATGCACAAGTAAGATTTAGATTAGAAAAAATCGTAGCCAAATATTGATTTTTTTTATGTTTTAGAATAATGATAATTTAAGTCGTTTAGCAAGTCAATGTGAAGTCATTAATTGGAGTTATTTGGATTATGATACATATGTTAGCGTTACCAATTCAATTATGCCAAAACTTGATCATGATTTTATTCTTGCACCAAGAGCGTCGATTAATGGATATTTAAATAGGTTTGAAAAATTATTTTTGATTCAAATATTTTTCTTCTCCTGCACGAAATGAATGCTTGACTAAGCGTTGAAAGTTAGAAGTCATATGAAAACAAAGGAGCTCATTTTCTCTATGAATATTTTCTACGAAGTACAACCACAAAGAATGATTAAGTAAATGAGCTGTTGTTTGAAAAATAGATAGAATATGTTGATTTGACTCAGACAACAGATGAAAAACCTCAAAAATGAGAGTAACTCGAAAGATTTTTAAAAAAAAAAGAAACTAAAACTAGAATTTTTTGTTCTCATTGTTTCACGTTTTTGGGTAATGCGACCAAAAAGCAATAGAATGCAAGAATTCTATTGGAGAAAAACTACGATCTTTAGAGACTTGAAAGCTACTCATAGACGTAATGCTTTGAAATTCAATTATAATCTTCTTTTCCTATGCATAATCAAATGTTCTAAACGTATTCGTTTAATATTGTATCTTAATTAGTAACTTTAGATGAAGAAAATTCTCAGAAAGATATACACATAGGAGAAATAGGAGCAAAATCTAGAAGGAATATGCCTCTTTATCTCGATTTGTTGATATAAACAGTTTGAGATTGATAATCTATCTCCTTATTTGATAATAGCATAATTTTACTCAAGAACAATAACATTTCTATTGAACATAAAATTCAATCAAAGATTTATTTTTATTTTCCAATAGAATTCTTCGTTGTGCTTCGGAATTCAATACTTCATCACTTTTTACTGATCGAGTACGTGCTAAACGATTATGCTATCTTCGTTTAATTGAACAATATTTAATAAACGCTAAAAATCAACATAATGAAGATGATTATCGGTTAACATTAGTTAACTTATTAAATGATATTGAATCTTTATCATTGCAAGGAAAACTTTCTATGAACGATGAACTTATTGATATATTTATTGAATTGATACGATTTCTCAATGTAAACTCATTTGGACAAACAATTTTAGCATCATATCAAAATTATTTTCTCGATTGGATACATCATAGTCAAAATTCTATTACAATGTTATCATTATTTATTTGTGTATGTCGAACATTAAAAGATCGCAATAGAAAAGTTTTATTCTTAGAATCGATTCTTTATATTTATTTTACATATGATCAGCAACGTAGTTGGCCAATTATATTTAATTTATTTCAAGAAAATGAAGATTTAGCTAATATGAAAATTGATGATTATATTCAATTCTGTTGTGAACATAGTGCCTTTCTAGCATTATATCTTATTTCTGAATATGAATTAACACATCCTAAAGAACTAAATAATGAAAATATATTAAATAATGAATTAAAATATCTTGAAAAATTAGTTGAACTATTGACAAATGGAAAATTACGCGTTAAATATGGTGAAGAAGAACGTACTTTATTAATAATGATTAAAATAAATCATATAATTAAACATCAATTAGACTATGGGAAAAGTACTGATGTTTTATTAATGCGTCCAGTAAGAAATTATGCAAATTGGCTTTTGGCACTTGGAACAGATAGTAAAGATTCTGCTTGTAGTGGAATATTTGCTATGATTGGAATCGGAAAAAAAAATCAATATTCTCTCAGGTAACAACGAAAAGTAAAAGTTGAATATTTTACATCGATTTAATCTATCGATAAAGAGAAGAAAATCAGAATTACGTCATTTTCCGTAGATGAAATTGAACGGCTAATTAAACTTTCGGTGAGGTATCACTGCCTCAAAATCTATAGTTTTCTGCTCAATAACTAATAACTAATAAATAATCTGTTCTTAACTTCTCGTTAGTTGATATCAAAATCGACGAGACTAATACTTAAAATTATATATTCAGTGATATGAATAATACATACCTACGTCTCCATACTCTAAAATAATCTATGGTGTTCATCGGTTTACTAATCTTAATTAGTTAATAATCGACAAGGACCATCATTAGAAACGAAACATTTTGAGACATCGGATTAGTAGTTCTCCTATGTAGAAAACTATTAAACTACACTCACACCATGAAAGTAGTTCTATTCAGATTATTTTGTTTTTGAGAACAGTCTTCTTAGAAAATAGACAAGCCGCATTAAGTTAAACCTACCGTTACTCGTGGTATGCGATTAAATAGATCGAACGTAGTGCAACATAGTGCCTGTCTTTTCTTCAATTGATTATCTTACGAAACTTATTTTCATTGTGCAAAAGAATCATCTTACCTCTATTTCTCTTTTGATAGGTTTCGTTTATTTATTAAATTAATTGGTATCATGCAATTACAACAATTAACTGATGAACCATGTAAAATTCGTATTGATTCGAATGATCGTCAACCAGATCTGTCATTAGCAAATAATGCAATACTTAAACAAAATTTAGCAAGCTTAGCTTCATCAACGACAATAAATGAATACAGTGATTTAAAAAGCGAACTCACTCATTGTAACAGTGAATATATACAACGTGCTGATGTAACTTTTTTTCATATTTCTGATTTGATTAATTACCTATGTACACATCTATTTGCTGATCTGCCATATTTAAATTATGTATCTAGCCACGACTCTCGATAATAAGAAGTGTATCCTCTTTTTTTTCATATCTGTATATTTCTTTGTTCTGTTTGTAATTACCAGTCTCTTTTTTTTTTTACATATATAACGGCAAAAATGCTTCACTACTTTTTTTTATTTTGTTCTAATACTCATATATAGAGGTGTCAGCCATGCGGCTGAGCCGCTGCAGCAGCCGATTTTTCTATAATATCAGCCACCGTAGTCACCAAATTGCTGGTAATTTTAAGAATTTTTGGGGAGCCACCGCTGAAGACATTACTCATTCAAAGAAGGAGCCGCTGGAAATTTTTAAAAATTGAAAATTGTTGTCCGTCGCCGTCGTTCAACCCTTTGGCTGACACCTCTACGCATATATATATATTTATATTCAAACAATCAGATCGTGATTGTATTGACTGAAAAACTTTTGTTTTGTAGTATAATCTTCAGATATGGCTGTTGGTGATGGAGATAAAAATTGGTTTCGAGAAATAAATCCTAGTTTTTGGCCTGGTCAAGCATTTTCACTTGAAATTGATGAAATTCTTTATCATCAACAATCAAAATATCAGGATGTTCTTGTTTTCAAAAGGTAAATAGTCCGATTTCTAGATTATAAATCATGTAATTATGTTTATTTTTCAAATGTTCAGCAAGACCTATGGTAATGTGCTCGTATTAGACAACTGTATTCAATGCACAGAACGTGATGAATGTGCTTATCAAGAAATGTTGGCATTTCTTCCTTTATTTGCACATCCAAACCCAAAAAAAGTATAGTGATATTGATAAAATTTTAAAAGAGTATTTTTTATAATAGCCTAAACACTCTTTTTAGGTATTAATTATCGGTGGAGGTGACGGGGGTGTTCTACGTGAAGTTGTTAAACATCCGCAAGTTGAACAAGCTGTTCTTTGTGAAATCGATCAAGTATTCACTTTTGTTTGGTGCCACAAGTGAAAAAAAATTAATCAATATCTTTATTTATAGGATGTAATTGATGTAAGCAAAAAATATTTACCTAACATGGCTAAAGGTTTTTCTAGTTCAAAAGCCGTCATTAACGTTGGTGATGGCTTTGAATATCTTAAAACTCATCAAAATGAATTCGATGTTATTATTACAGATTCATCGGATCCTGAAGGTAATTATTTATTATTTGAACTTAATTCATTGATGCAAAAACAATATTGTTTTTAGGTCCAGCCGAATCTTTATTTCAAGAATCTTTCTATTCCTTACTGAAATCAGCTCTTAAACCACCACATGGCATTATATGTTGTCAAGGTGAAAGTATTTGGCTGCATTTAAATTTAATCAAAAATATAGTCTCATTTACTCGCAATGTTTTTCCAACTGTTGCCTATGCTTTTGCATCAACACCGACGTATCCAAGTGGTACTATTGGATTTCTTCTTTGTAGTCTTGACAAGGTAAAGATACTTATTTAAAAAAGACTATTGCAATTCATATTTTATGTTTTTTTTTAATTCTATTAGGACAAAAAATTAAATGAACCTATTGATGAAAAATTAATCGAACAAATTGATGCATGTTTTTATACATCTGAAATGCATCGTGCTGCTTTTGCCTTACCTGCCTTTGCTAAAAAGGTGAAAATTTTTGAATAATACAAGATTTGTGTATGAAAATGGACTTCTTTTTCTTCTTTAGGAGCTTAATGATACAAAGCAATAATACAATAGTCTCAAAGCGGTCTTGTGCATTTGAGTCATTCTGTTTTGTTGGTTCTATTCGAAAATAAAAAAGAACTTATCATATAATTTGAAATAAAAAACAATTAATCGGTCTATTCATATATTGTTCATTGTACTAAAAATACCACGTTAGATCTAGACAAAATGATGTCGATTGAGCAAGACTCAATACTTTCTCATTGAAAGTGATAGCTTCTATAGTTGTTTAAAATTTACGTCGAAGACCCTGCTAGTTCGATTAGATAGGAAAAAAGACTCATCCACCTTATCTATTTTTAGAATAAAGGTTTGCGCCACGTCATCTGTGGATTGCTAAATTGTAGCTGATATTTTCTTCATCGTATTCTGATTCAGTAGCACAGATAACAAATATTATTAATGAATGATTCACTTTTAAATAAATATTTTTTTTGGAGATTTGTTAATAACAGTCTGATAGATAGATAATACTATTTGATTGTCTTCTTCTTTTAAAAGAATGTACATCAGTTTGAAATATAAACAACAGAATGATAGATGATAAGTGATAAGAATTTGAATGAACATAAAATGACTTATTGTAATGTATCAAATTCATAGATATAAACTTTCATAATTATGTTATATTAGGCAACTTCTCAATCTGATGTGTCATTTTTCACGATTCTTCTGATTTGAAAGGGAAAAAAGGCTAACTGAACAGTAACTCATGTTTCTATCTCGATGTAAATCTTATCGCATAAGCTAATTACATTTGACAGAATAAGTAACAATATTCATTGATGTATATGAGAAAATGTTCGATGTCTGCTTCTAAATAGCATGTATTAAATATCATCATTTGACAGATTGCTCAAATATTTATTTATTTATTTTTTATACAGTTAAACATATGATACTAAACTTAGATCAAAGAGGATCAATCAGAAGCATACTATTTTGTCATGAAATCTAAATCAAACGTATCTCGTTCATCACAAAACGAGAAGAAGAAAAATAGAAAGTAACTTCTTATTATTACAGTCATGTCCATTGAAATACAAAATTTAATGCGGCTCCATTTAATCCGTTCGATAGAATGTGATATGTAAACATTGTAAGTTTCTTTTTATGTAATCAAAATTCATCCTCTTATTCAAATATATACGACTTACGAAAAAAATTCCTCTATGCTCGTTAAACAAACACCTCACCCTGTTGACTTCTTCATATGAGAGGAAATTAATTTTCAATCAAAGTAAAATCATCGCTATTCCTGTTTAAACCAAAAAAGAAGCATTATCAGCTTAGTTCGTTCAATATCCGGTAGTAGTGTTTTAGCATAGATATCGTTTCATCTCTAACCGAAACAATCAATGACACCTCCTTTATTAAACAAAACGTAGAGAAGAAAACCAAAAACAAAATAAGGAAAATTCCATTGAAAGTAGTTATAGACAAGCGTAAGCAGCTGCACATCACTAAAATACAGAAAAATATATTGTAGATGTTGTTTTTTTTATTGTGTAATACTATAATCATACCTAAGGAGAGAAAAAACAAATAAATCTATTATCACAGTTTCGACGAACAAAACTATTCAAGTTATCTTATTTGAAATAAACTACTGTAGATAATAGTAAGCAACAATATTGTTACCCGATTTGAATTATGATGGAAACCTTCAAAAGAAAAAAAAGAGAAACTTTACACGTAGAATAATTTTAGACCACTTATTGGTTGATATGCTTATGATCAATATTTTAAGAGTATCGTATTGTATTTCCAGGATTTTTGGAATCAGTTTATTAGAACGAATTGAAATTTTAAGTGTAGATAGGTCTAACACTTTTTCTAGAAGCTAATGAAAATTTTCTGAATAATATTTTTTATTTAAAACAAAACTACGATATCCAACTGGAATAGTGCGTAGTATATATGGGCAAAAAATCGTTTTAACTCAATCGAATGTATTAGATCGTATTGACAGGAGAGTTCCTATACTTTTCTAACTTAAATTTGCTTTTCTTTTTAAGTTCTTCCATGTAGAAAATATCTCATAATGCACTTAGTCGATAGATACTACTTCGGGCTATAGAATTTCTGCAAAACCAATTCTAGATCACGACGATCGCAATACCCTTAAGGTGGCGGGTAGTCGTTTGAATTCATGTCAGATTAGATTGGTTGGTTTTGATCATTCTTCATGTGTTTAGTACCTGCACGACCGGAACTGTTTCATCTATGATCTTGCACTGTTTTTCATCTACTCGCCCTCTCATCTGCTAATTCTATTTGATCTATTTATTCTATTTTTATCTCTTCATATTGCAACCATGAGACTCGATATATAATATAAACAAAACAAGACAAGTTATTGTAACTTACCTTCTGATGAAAGTGTCATCATTCTTAAACTTTCTGTTGAATGAGGTACTGTTACGGATTGTGCAGATTTTGTGCGTTGATATCTTGTTGTACTTCTTTCTGTTATTATTGTTGTTGTTGTTGTTGATAGATCAATTAATTGGATACTTTTTGAATTAGTTCCAACTAAATTTGAAGCTACACATGTATATTCACCTTGATAGTTATTTGTAAAATATGTAACAATTAATTCTGACACAATATAATTTTCAATATGATAGATGTGATAATTATAATTAAATCGCTGTTTATCTTTTATCCAATAAACTTTTCCAGCTGGATACATACTAACTTGACATTTAAGACGAATTTCATTCGATTCTGAATTAACGAAAAAATCTCTATCTAATATTATTTTTTCGTTGATAAAAATATCTATTTCGGGTGCATATTGTATTGTCAATTGAAATGAACGTGCTACATCGGGTGGATAACCATTACTTGCAATGCATTCATAACGACGATTTGTATGACGAGATATATTAAAAATTGTCACCTGATTTTGTTCACTAATAACTAACAAAATTAAAAGAAAAGAAACCTGTAGAATATCGAATAGGTCAGTCATTGTATTGTTATTTTTTTTATAGACATAAAGAAACCTCTGATTATGCGTCTTGTCAACTGTTCAATTAGACGCTATTATTTTTCCAATATATATATATATTTATATATTGTTTTTATACAACAAAAAATGAAATTTTTGATATTCAATCAAACACAATGAACAATGCGAATACTGTGACTTACTTCGAACATTATCAGATTGATCATACGATAGTAGACGAATATTTGGTGTTGGTTTGCCGTGTGCATAGCATTTTATTGTAAAATTTGAACCTGTTCGAATCGAAGATGGATATGGTTCCGTTGTTAATTCATTAATAATTTTTGGCGGAACTAAAGTTTTTTCAAAAGAATTGTCGGTTTACGTTTTGTTTTTATTGTTAGAAATATTTCAATTAGTTTTACCTTTAACATCCAATATTAATGTTTTATATAAACCATTATTAGTAAAACAACGATAAACACCCGCATCATCTTCATCGACATCATCTATTTGTAAATTCCATTCTTCAGCATATGCATGTAATAATGATATTCTTGAATCACCATTAATTGGTCGATCTTCCATTGTTAAAATTGAACTATTGTTTAATTTCATCCATATAACCTAATAGAGAATAAACGATTACATAGTTCTTTTTTTAGTTCATATACAAAGCTATATATGTATGTATATAATTATTACTTTAAATGAACCAAGTTCATTATTCTTGGCGTCTTGTAATGAAACGTAACATGGTAATAATGCTCGTTTACCCACAACAACAGAAATAGTTTCATATGACTGATCAAATTTCGGTTGAAAAGATTGATCTGTTAAAAGAATATGTAATATTATTTATTAGCGATAAAAACGCAGTATGTAAAGAATGATAAATGAGAAAGAAGAATAGATAAGCGTATCTTTTTTTCCTTCTTCTTCTTCTACTTCTATGGAATATCATTAAAACACAACAACAAATATGTGATCGGTTAAGATGTATCATATACATATTTTTTCAGACATCGTGTTTTAGTTTTAATCGTACATCTCTTAACAAGTATAAAGACATTTTATTATATTCGATGCGTTACATTCACATGAACAATCTCTTCTTGAGAATAGTTTAGTATTAGTAAGGAGCCATAATGGACACACTTCTTTAACGGACAAACAATACTTCAGACAGAAACACTCTTCGTTTTCTTTCTCTTCTTCTTCTTCTTTTTCTTCATAGTTTTCGTTTAATAAAAAGAAGCTTATCTGTTTCCTTTTTCAATGAACTTTCACAATTTAGTTTCGTTAATGTTTAACTAACAACGGTCATTCATGTCGCTTGGTATCAATATAACATTGATTTCCGTTTTTTTATGTGTATGTGCTAATCTTCTAGTCACGTCGAGGTGACAAAATCATGTACATTCTTTTTTTCTTCTTCTTCTTTTGCATGAACTCCAACAGAACCACTCTAATGTACATTATAGCTTTTCAAAATGCTTGTTTGAAATATAAGACAAATCTGCATTATTCCGCTACCTTTAGAGATGAAATGCTAAAAGTAATTAGATAGTAAACATGATCGTACAGGGAGAACAAACTTTTATTTTGCGATTCATTAATCTGTATAGAACGCAAAGTTCTAGAAAAAAGTCAACCAAAACTGCCTCCATATTCAAAATAATTATTTATTGTCTATAAATAGGTTTCTTACAACATACCTGAATCAATTTCATTAGATCTACTTGATGAGATTATAATGATTAATAATAGAAAGAGTAACATTGGTAAATATGTAAAGAGTTTGTTTTTATTCGATGCAAATATATTTTATGTACAGTTCGTGTTTCTATTTAATTATATTGAAAATGTATTCATGCTTCGTTAAGAAGTAGGCGAGAACGAAGGAGAGAGAGAGACAGAGAAAGGATGTGGATCTTTCTCTTGATATGTATATTGATGGAACAATTGATGAATGAGAGGACGTAAAAGAGAGAGAGAGAGAGAGAGAGAGAGAGGGAGAGAAAAAAAAGGAGCAATGGAGAAGAGAGAAAAATGGATGAACTGTCGTTCTTGCGCTCCTTCTGCTCTTTCGTTCTGGCATGAACAACTGAAAAAAAGAAAATGAGCAATTGATGTTCATGATGATGAGTTTATATCAGTAAAGAACAGTAGTTTCTTTGTATGTCTTCGAAAATATTAAGCAATGAATTGGAAAAGCGAAAGAAAGAAAGAAAAAGAAAATATGGTGTTATATCGTTCACTAAGTAATGAACGTGAAACAAAAAACAAAATACGAAAGCTCGAGCTAATCTTTTCTCTTGAGAATACTAATGGTGTCATCAATGTCATAAACATGAAGTATGTGTTAATAAAATCATCGATGAACCGTAACATGTTGGACAAGTGTCTCTTTAAACTGCTGGCTAAAATAGCGTTAAAATATTCATTTTTTAACATATGGAATTCAGATGAGAGTGACTAGCGGATAAAGTCTTCAAAAGATGTGTTTTTCCTTATTTTATATTGGATGAATTTTCTTCAAAAAAGCAAAACATAGAAGAGAATCTAATCATACATTTGATCTTTCCGTATTCACGCTTATCAATTTTTCTTCTTCTTGAAGTTCATAAGAATAATAAATGAGTATTTATAATAGTTTGATGACCGTTAGAACTACTCATCATTGAATGTATATTAGTAAAATATATGAGAAGTAGTTTGTTGAAAGTGTGATCATCTTACACGAGTGATTAACTTTAGGTGGCGAAAATGAGATAGATCTAGTCACAAGAGAAAGCTTATATTACACTTACCATATAGACAGCGTAACACATTTTCATTTGAATGATGTATAGTAATGATATAAAAAAAAAGCTGAAATGAAATTACGTCTAACACATAGATATATAGAATGAGCATCTAAATCTGCAATTGATTGATGCAGATAGGTTACAGGACAATCAAACAAACAGCTTAAGGAATCGAAGAAAAAAGAAAATTGAATGATAGTTAATATCCTTGATTTATATCGAATAAAGTATTCTCGAGTTTTCTTTCTTGTGCATTAATTGGGTTCAAGTCTAAAAAAAGTGTTCAATTTTTTAAAGCGATTATATAAATGTTAGATGCGAATGATGAATTAGAACTAGAGAATAGTTTCAACTGAAAGAAGAGAAAAAAACGATGCATTGCGTCATTTGTTTGTGCATCTAATGAAAATTCAGTGTTGCCCATAGAGAAAAGATTCAATCAATTGACTGAAGTAATCTTTATTATTATATATTACTGATACACAAAATGAATTTAATGATAGGATTTCTATCTATTTGAGGTATATGTCATGATAATATTTATTTTAATAAAATAAAAAGACTAAATTCTATTAGATTATCACTCGTATAATAAAATTTAATGAATTAGATTATTCTTTATTATTAGATTGAATCCTTATATTTCTGTAATCTGATGGTTTTCTCAAAATATGAATATGTCTAGATTTATTATTCTATATTTACAGTAATTCACTTTGAGATATTCATTACTATGAAGATGATGCTAACAGAGTGAGTCTTTACCAACTGTGAATTAATTGAATTTATGCCTGTATGAATATACAGTACATGAGAGTAGGTGAATTTTTTCTTTCGTGTTCTTTTTTTTTCTTATAGCTATTACAATAGGAGTACATGTCTGGATTTATTAATAAAACTATCATTTGGCATTGCCCTCTTGTCTCTTATGAATCAGTTCTTTAGCATTCTTTTTCTTTCATTTTAAAATCGTTCGAAATTAAAATTTTCAATAAAATCATTAAAGCAATTCAGCTATCGGTTGATGCGTTGGTTTGCATTTCTATGTGCAAATGAGAACTAAAATAGTAAAATATTGTTATCCGATTTCATTCTTAGCTTAAGGTTATGTTCAATAATATAGTCATTACAACTTAATAATATTATGTGTAAAACAAAATAGTGTTTATATTAATCAATAATGAACTTGAGAGAATATATCGAATTATACTACGACATGGAAATTCCTAGTTTTTTTTTCTGTCGCCTCTTCCTTAAGAAATAGAATCACATTTCAGTTATTGAAGGGAAATAAACCAATTATTCATTTAACGTGCGAGTCCACAATTTTAGAGTAATACAAGTAGAATATATTTGCCTTTGTTAGAACCTAACTATATTTCTGAAAAATATTCAACCAAAAAGAAAAAAAGACTATGTAATATAAACAGATTTCAATTGAATGATCTTTCTTGTGTACTCAAAAAATGAATACACTCTAGATTCGGTCAGTGTGTCCGGCCGTTAACACGATAATTCTTGAAAGCCTCATCCAATTGTCTTGAAATTTTGTACACGGAATGATTTCATCAATATCTCAGTCGCGTTCAAAGATGAGAAGGATCCGTCAAGAAATGGCTGAGTTATCGAAAAAATTGTCATTATTGACCAGATCATCCCTGAGGGGTACAGGGATATTTAAAAAAAAAAGGTTTTTTTCTCAGAATTATTCGCAACATATATAAATCGACTCAGTTTTCTCAGTACACGTAACAATCGGATGCGAATCCGATGTTTCCTCATTTTTATTTCTTTTTCTTAACTTCTAAAATGCATACCAATTTCAATAAGTACGAAGAATTTTGTCAAAGATGAAGCCTAATACATAATAAATAAGAAGATAATGTGGTCTTCTGAAGTTTTATTTCGAATCAAAGAAACATGATCGTACGTATCTTGACAGTTGCCTAAGCCCATACTCGCAGTATATATATATATATATACATATATATACATATATTTAGTGTATAAGCATATTACATAAACTTGATCTTATGTTGATTTTTAATTCTAATAAATTGGAAATATGAATTTATGTTTCATGATCGTATGGAAAGAATACATATACATTGAAACTCAATCTATCACCTATTTTTATTATTAATATAAAAAGCGACCCGATAACATAGAATAAAACAAACACCACATGACTAGAGTCTCTGCTATAGATTTTAATCGAAAAATTATTTCGAATCTGTTGTTTCCGAAACACATTTATCCATAAATTGAGCCATTTGTACATCATGTGTCGATAGACCATTTAAATCATGTGTACTTAATGTAACTTGAACTTTATTATAAACATTAAACCATTCTGGATGATGATCAAGTTTTTCAGCTAATAAAGCAACACGTGTCATAAAACCGAAAGCTTGATTAAAATTTTTAAATAAGAATGTTTTTGATATAGCATCACGATCATCAACTAATTTCCATCCATTTGTTTCTAATGGTTTCAATAGATCGTTTCGTTGATCACCTTCAAGTTTAGCTCGCATTTTCTTTTTAATTATATTTGTAGCTAAGCCGTTCGAATATATGTTGTTTAATCTAGAAGATTTCAATGAATTGAGTAGTTTCAAAAGTTGTATACAATCACGACTCATAACAATAGACATGAATAGTATGTTTTTTGTTCTGAAAACAAATAAAGAATAGTAGAACTATTTGACATGAATAGTATCTGTATATTTATGTATATCTGATTTACACAAAAAGAAAAAAGAGTAAACAGAATTTTTTTTTCATTCACTAGCGTTGAAGTACAGCTTTAATAAAATCTTCGTATACAACCATTCCTTGTTTATCTTCAAATTCATAAGTCAATTGTTCAACTTCATCGTCTGTTAATCGCTCACCTTAACATGAATAAAATAAAATTCAATAAACTTATTTATTTTATTTTTTACCTAATGTTGTTAATAAATGACGTAATTCTGTTGCTGGTATCAAACCATTTCCATCTTTATCGAAAACACGTAAACCATCAGCAAATTCTTCGGCTGGCGCAACAGATTCCTTTTGTCGACTTAAACGTTCAAATATAACTTGAAATTGTTGCATCGATAAACGTTCAACTCGATTAAGATCAGTAAGAAGTAAATGTATTTCTGCTTCAGTTGGATTAAGTCCTAATGCTCGAATAGCTTCGCCTAAATAATGTTTTGGAATATGATCATCTCCTCGATCATCATATAAACTGAAGACTAAACAAACAATAAAAAAATGAAGATATTTTTTTATTGATTTCTCGAATAATATTACCATCGCGAATGTCAGCTGAAATTTCGTCCGTAAGACCAGGCATCTTATTCATGAAGGAAATAATATTATGAGTTTCGTGTTTTTCTTTTTTCAATTATAATAAGAATAAGTAAATATAAAAAGACGAGTAGAACATGACCTATTCACTTGATTATACTTGAACTGCTTCTTTCTTATTGAATCATCGACAGACATACAATAGAATTTTGCAGCTGTCGCATAGCGAATAGTAATCGATAATCGATGGATGTCACTGATGAATAGTGTTCAAACGAAATATTCGGTGTTCTAATTTCCAGTGATACGAGTAATGTTAGTTTTTAAGACAAGAAAAAAGAACTATGATATTCATGAACCTTTTTAAATGAATGTCTCTTCGTTCAAGTTAATATTAGCAATAATTTTCTTTTCTTTGATATAAATTCAAAGCTAAAAATAATAACTTTGACATTCTTCGATATTAATTGATTTTGATTTTTAATATTACAAATATTGTTAATTGAAATAGATAGAACATATTTTATATTTATGTTAACTGCATCGGATAAAATTTCTATATGAAAATTATTGAATGGTTTAGTTTTTTTTTCAGTATAGAATATATTACTATACTTAAATCGAAATGACTACGATGAGAACTTAAGTCGCTTTAATTGTATATACACGATATTTTACTGAAATATTGTTTTGTGAGTATGAACACATGTTATGTAGCATAATAATTGAAGATCCTGACAATGGAGGTGCTTCTATTGTAAGTTGAAAAGACTAGATATTTTTACATAAAAAAGAAGCTCTCACTGCCAAACTAACAAGGTTAAAATACTAGCTTCTGTTGGCTTGTCTAGAGGGAGTCTCAAAATATTGACGATTTTCTATAGAAACTGTATGCTTGAGGCATCTATATCTCGAAGAGAGTTTGTCCAAAACTTTCGATTTTTTTTTCTGTAAGCTAGTCTCATTGAGACCTTCATGCATACAAAGTTTCAGGTCCAAATTCGAAAATATGGTATTGCTGGGAAAGTCGGTTCTGTAGAGAAAATTCATCAGTGTGAAGCTAGCACGACGGAGCTAGCACGATGAAACAGAGATTCAACTATAAGTCTTCTCATAAGTATTGCCGACCCATAAAAACCAGAGCATTCGATGCAGAATTTAATTCTGGATCGGACGGTGATACTTTTATTCCCCGGCAATACTTTGAGAAAATTCTATCTGGTTTTTCTTGTCCTATTTAAAAGAAAGTAAAGCTGTAGGTAAATTTTTTTCCTAAGTATTGCCGGGGAATAAAAGTATCACCATCCGATCCAGAATTAAATTCTGCATCGAATGGTCTGGTTTTTATGGGTCGGCAATACTTATGAGAAGACTTATAGTTGAATCTCTGTTTCATCGTGCTAGCTCGGTCGTGCTAGCTTCACACTGATAGAAAATTCACTGAAAAATCGAATATCTCCCTCTAGACAAGCCAGCGAGAGCTAGTATTTTAACCTTATTAGTGTGTCGGTGAGAGCCTTTTTTTTGATGTAAAAATATCTAGTCTTTTCAACTTACAATACAAACAGCTCCATTGTGAGCGAGTTATCTCAATCTTCGAAAAGTTCATATTTTGCCGCCTCAAATGTTCAATCACAAGTTGGTCTTCCGTGTTAAAAAAAAACTATTATGATGTAAATTGATTTTGAAATCTTTACAACTTACAACAAGCGAGCATTGACCTACTTAAATTTAGACCTGGAAATCGTTTTTTCTTAGTTTTAGTTATAAATTCTGATCCAAGAATATATCACTTAGGGATTATTATTTTTTCTCTACATTTTATTTAATGTTGAAGTTTATAGTAATCAGCTAAATGTCTTATCTTCAAATTAGTTTCAACATGAAAATTAAATGGCATTTTTAATGTCATTCTTGTAGTATTTCCTTAAGAAATCTATGCGCAGGAAATGTTACATCGGTTTGACCTCAACAAATCAGTGAATATAATTCTAGTGTTATTTTGTACTCAACTATAATGAATTTGACAACCTTTATAAATCATGAGTAAAGAATAGATTTTCCCATTGAAAGAAACTTTGATTTTAAGCTCAGTGTATCCTTTTTGTTAGAATAATGAATATATGTTCAATAGAAACTATCTATATGATTAAGTTTGAAAGATTACCAAAAGAAAAAAAGCAATGGATTAAATTTTTTTGATTCATGTAAATACTGAGTGGCAAATTCAAGGCTACACATTATAATTTGAAATTGCAATGATATAAAAACAACAATCACAAGCGAGGGAGGAAATATTTTCAGCTATTAGGCATCATTCGAATTCATCTTTGGCAAGTGGCTAGGATTAATTATATAGTATATATTAAATATTTGAAAAAATTTGTGCCATTACTGGACGATTTCAGAGATATGAAAGGAATATCTGCTTGAATAGATGATGCCATCATATTGATACACTAGATTTTGTTTTTCTCATATCTTAATTAACAACGTCGTCACTTTTTTGTTATTTTCTTTCATAATAGCTTATCTCATTTTATTCAAACGAAAAGAGATTAGAGAAGTATGTATGTTCTATGTATCCGTATAACATGTAAAAACGACAGCGCAGTGAAGCGCAGATTGTGGCACCATCTATTCGAGCAGTTAGTCGTACCAACAGTGTGTTTAGTTTACATTTATACCTCTTTAAAAATACTGGACAACAAGATTTGGATGTGGGTACGGATGGGTTTCAATAAGAAAAAATCACATACCCACACCCTTTATTTCATCATTTTTAGTTTACTATTTTAATCATATGAAAGTATATGTGTCGATATGATTTTACAACATCTTTCAGTTAAATTATTCTTTTATTGCTGATACTAGATTTAAGAATAAAAATTAATTGTGATATCTTGATTAATTTAATAGATTTAACAAAATACTTGCACAGAATACTGAAGTTGCAAATATTAATTCTGAATAATTCTAACGCGATATTTATTAGTTTCCTATTTATTTATTTTTATTGTTACAATTAAGTTATGATATTAATCAGTAGCTTGTTCTATAATTATAAATAGCATGATAACCATATAGAATTCGGGAAAAAAAATACATATACGACTCTAATTTATTGAATATGACGTTTAATTAGCCATACTTCGATGACATATTCAAATCTCGTTATAGTCTTAAATTATATTATATCTAATTATAACCTATGAATAATAGATAATCCAAACATTTTCTAGTTTGTACTATCTTTTGAAATTTTAAATATCTATACTATAAACAATTTTGAATAACGAATGCGATTAAATATCACAAATATTTTAACGAAGATACAATTCAATTTCCACAATCAGATTTGACACAATCATCGTACAAATAAGTATATACGCGCAGTTGTTCAGAGACGTATTTGAAGTTCTTTATACTCGGCTTGGGATGATTGAAATCTGTCCTTTTAAAAGTTGAAAATGAAATTTCTATTGATTTGATGATGATTGCCAATTTCTCTATGATTGCTGTTGTTGATGGAGGCAAAGAAAAATCACTATAAATACTTTCACATATTTTTTCATTAGTGATCTTTGTAAAATAATAATTTAGTTTTTTTTATGATCTCATATTTCAGTGCTAAAGAATTTTCTTACTCAAAGATGAATTTAAATCACGATACATTTTAACATGTATATCAATGAATTTTGAACTCTGATGAAAATGCTTGATGTAGTCGAACGATAGAGTTCATCGACTCTGGATTTGAAAATATTACTGATTGAATGTTGGATGACAGAAAAATTTCATCCGTATAATATTGGATGAATTTTTTCTGAATAGTCGTTCGTTCTTATTCAAAAAAAAATTGAATTTATTTGTAGAAAGCACAGAAGATTTTGTTGGCAGATTAGAAAACGCATCAAAAGTTTTAAGAATACTCCCTAAATTCTGGATCCCGGAAAAAAGTCATCAGCTAAGGTCGGGTTCAGGTTCAGATATTCGTTGACCCGATGGATTGTACTAAACTATACATTCGTGATAAAATTCTTTAAAAGTCATGCAAGAACCCATTACGTTATCTTAGAAGAGAATATAGTTACGAGAAATAGAAAAAGGTCCCCAGTTTACCACTAGATTAATTAATCATCATGTATCTGTTCCCAAAGCAATAAAATAAAAAACAGAAGTGCAGTTGAGAAATTTTTAAGTTTCGTAAAATTTCGAATAAAATAAAAAACAATAT